TTGTTCTTGCGGGGCAGAGCTCTGCCTCTTTGGTCCCGCTATACTCCCATCACCACTGATGGGAGTATAGTGATAAGCACTCCCATCACCACTGCGCTACCATTACTAGTGCCACCAACATTACAACCATCCACTAACACTATTTAACACCGGCTAACAAGTTAACAGTATGCTATAAAGTGTAAATTAGGGGATAAATTACAAATTTCACCATATAAATACGTCAACTAGCACATTAGTGACAGAAAAGTAGTGAAATATAGAAGAAATGAGACTAAATAGGTCTTGTAGAGGAGTAGTCAGATCATTCAGTTCACAGTCGTAAGGTCCAACGTTCAATTCCGAGAGCAGGATGATGTTTCTTCTTCGCAATACGTGCAGATTGTATGAAGGTTCTTCCTCCCAATGACTACACGAGTGGTAATGTAGAAAGATGCGGCACTCACAGTGGCGCATCAATGGACAGGATGTGGCAGAGACGGGAAGATAACGACGTCTTCTATGTGGGTGAGGATAAAGATAGTGCAATGTTAAATGAGATTCTTGTATTGTGATTTGTGTTGTACTCACTGAATCTGTGCGCCCCTTGAGGGACTTGAAGTAGAGGGGGGGGGGGGTAAAAATAGCCTAAGCTACTCTATCTCTTTGAGATGTATTTTTTCTTGGCTCAATAAACATACTTGAACTTGAACTTGATAAAGACAAAATAAACATATGAGTGGAAAGGGACTCAAGATGGGAAAGAGGAGAAGTTGCAGTAATGATGAGAGCAAAGCGTCGACCTACTATGGAAATTGTGGGATGAATGCAAGAGACGGTGGTGGGGAGGCGAAGGATATTTGGGAGGCAGTCGCTAAGCAGATATGAGAAAGGAAGAGAAGTGCGAACACATTTAGAAATATGAAACGCTATGCGTGCTAGTAGTTGAACAAGAATGTAAGAACTCATATATGTAAGTAAAGAAATGAGGTGAATGTGTATAAGGTTTGGGGTAAGTCAGGTTGGGACAGGTTAAGTGAGGGTAGGGTAAGTTACATAAACTCCGCAGTCTCCGTGGTGTAGTGGTAAGACACTCGCCTGGCGTTCCGCGAGCGCTATGTCATGGGTTCGTATCCTGGCCGGGGAGGATTTACTGGGCGCAAATTCTTAACTGTAGCCTCTGTTTAAGCAACAGTAAAATGTGTACTTGGATGAAAAAACGATTCTTCGCGGCAGGGGATCGTATTCCAGGGACCATAGGATTAAGGACTTGCCCGAAACGCTACGCGTACTAGTGGCTGTACAAGAATGTAACAACTCTTGTATATATCTCAAAAAAAAAAAAAAAAAAAAAAAAAAAAAAAAAAAAAAAAAAACGGGTTCCGAAGCTTACCGTCTTTCGGAGACAGCACCGCTCCTGTGCCAGGTAAGTCCACTACGGGCTCACCATAGCCCGTGCTACTTGCAACTTGTTCCGAGTAGCTGAATCTATAACAACAACTTACCGTCTTTACGGGCAATTCATGCCCATACCACCTCTTGGGTGGCTTAATCTTTATTAATCATCTTTACGTCTGGAACGCAATCAATAAACACGGGAGACATCTCCCGTCACGCAGGGTGCAGTCGCACCTCCAGAGATCTCCAGTATCAGCTCTTGATACTGGTAATGGCTCAAAAGGGCCACCACTTACGGGCTATTCATGCCCGTGCCACCTTTTGGGTGGCTTAATCTTTACCAACCAACCAACCTGGAACGCAATCGCACTGATCTTTTTAGACGGGCCAGTAAGACAGCGTGAGGAAGAGCTGGGAGTGGAGTGAGGATAAGTCGCGGAGAGTATAGTTTATGTGGTTTGTCAGGCAAAGTGGCAGGACGCTTGGAAGTTGGGACAGCTGAGGATTGCTTCCTTTTAGTGCCAGGGGTTGGGGTTTGTGGCAAGTCAGCCAAGGAAGGGACTCGGGTAAGGCACGCGAAGGAGTTATTGAGGACGTTTTCCAGCATCAGCAGTTCAAACGTTTTGTAGACAGCAAGGATAGCCGCGGAGGTTGGATGTCAATTATAGGAGATGCGGAGGAAGGGTGCGTTGGGGCAGCCTCAGAAATGGGTTGGAAGAATTGCGGAAAGAATTTAGTTAGGAGGCGGTCCAGCGTCTTCTCAAGTGCATCTGCAATGCGAGTGACAAGTGTGTCAACAAGATCGGGAGTCAGTTGTACAGTGTGTGGGAGAGACTTGGACTCTGTGATTACAGGAATGTCAGTGACAGACAGATCAGGCACAAGCAAAGGTAGCGGCGAAGTGGAAAGCAGAGGTTGATGACGGACTGAGTTAGGATGTTGCAGAGCACGACTGTAATGCAGGTTGACGACGGGGAGAGCCTTAGTTTGCGCCGCTGCGTATGAAGGACGTTGTTTGAGAGTAATTTCATGATGAATACCACAGTTGGAGCAGCAGAATATATCTGACACACAGTCACGTGTGTAATGGGAACCAGAGCATTTCCCACATTTGAGATTGGTGCAGCCTTTCGAGGTATGATGAAAACCTTTACACCGAAAGCACTGAGTGGGACGGGGCTAACGTTCACCTCCAGTTTATGGAGGAAGCCGTTAATTCAAATCCGATCAGGGGGGAAAGAAGTTGAGAAAAGTAAGTAGGGCAGTGCCGGTATCACACAGTTCACCATTAGTCCTACGCATAAATTTCCTGACACCGAAGACTGGAATGTCCACAGCCTAAAGTTGCGCTTCGATGTCGTCTGCATCAATGTCAACAACATGTTAGACCACATACCTGGCTAAACGGTCACCCAGGGGCTTGTAGCATCTGACTTTGTAACCACAGATGTCAGTAATGCTTGAAAGCAACAGGTATATGCGATTGTGGTATACTGCAATTAAGTTCCTACGTTTATTCAATACAATACAATACAATTTTATACAATACAATTTTATTTAGGTAAGGTACATACATACAATAAATTTTTACAAGGATTGGTTGACTTATAGGTAGAGCTAGTACATACAATATATATTCGGTCTGATATCGAGCACTTTGATCTTAAAGAACTTGGGAATGACATGATAAAGGACACTGTGCCTTGCTATTTCCAAAAACACTATCAACGGCGCCTATCATCATCAAAGGCAATGATGAACCTTTGTTAAACCAGGAGAACTCATCCTATCCTGAGTGAGCTGAGGATCTTGATACTGAGGCCGTGTAGATCACAAGGTACCTTAGGAAACTGGCGGCGTTTCACCTCCAATCTGTTCACCTTACTGTGATGTGTATTGTTCAGGAAAACTTTCCCCCAGATCCTTCCTCTAAGACCGGGAGAACGTCGTGATGAGAATGCGTGCCACGTAACAGTGGGGTCTGAAAACCCTCAAAGGTATCTAGAACGTTGGAGGAGAGACGCAGCGCGCACCACCAGCCGTCACCTACATGGTCGGCTGGTAAGTCGGATAATGTTTGTTCAAGTTTCCTTATACCTGTATTTACCTGTTTACCTGAGGGACACTGACACTAGTAGCCTCGACGAGGACAGGAAGTCGGTGGCTTGTCGAAGGTCCCCCCCCCCCATTTGCCTTGATAATCTTTTCCAGTTGGATTTTGAAATTCAAGAGAGTTGGCATTTACGGCTTCAGCGGGTAGGCGGTTCCATGTGTTTATAACCCTGTGGATGAAAAAGCATCTCCTGTTCTCAGTCCTACATTGTGACATGTTAAGCTTGCAACCGTTGCTCCTTGTTTGTGTTACATCTGACCTTTTGAAAAAAGGATCCGGATCAACATCCTAAAAGTTGTTCAGTATTTTAAGTTTCAACAAGATTCGCCCTGTCATGCCTGGTTTACAGTGTTGTTAGCCACGTGGCCACTGTTCTTGATACGAGAGATGACTTAGCTCTGGAATGATTTTTGTTGCCCGGTGCTGTACTTTCTCCATAGCAGCTATGTCCGTAAGATGAGAGGTCTCCATGCTTAGATACAGTAATCCAAATGGGGCGCACCAGAGATTTTATATAGTTGAATCACTACCTTCTCTTGTACTATGTACTCTCACAACCCAATATACCTTCTTGTATATAAATAAATAAATAAATAAATAAATAAATAAATAAATAAATAAATAAATAAATAAATATTTTGAGTTGTATTCTAATCGCCTTTCATATATACGGTATTTATTTTTATTATTTTTTGTATTAACAAGCTTAGGAATACAGAGCAATGTGCTACTACCCTATTCTATATGAAAGGTTACACAGTGTTGCTCAAAAACTTAGTATAAGTTCATCTAATATTCCCATCTCACAGGATGGTATAGCCATACATGGAATCAGGGAAGAAAATACCAGCCTCAATACAAAAACAAACTCTGACTAAAACATAAAATGTAAGGCTGATCTATTAGCCTCCAGTAGCAAAATATTGGTACAGCACAAGAATATCTTCCAATATTCCTGAATTTATGAAGTAATTACAGTGTTCAAAGTACCTCATACCATTTGGTCTGAAGTCATTTATAACAGGGCAATCACAGATACCGTGTTAGAGAGTATGTCTTGGCTCTTGTTCACATAGTTTACAATTGGAATGTTCACCATTGGGGGGATTCATTACCTGCAGCCATCTGCCATAGATATCGATATCCCAGCCTAATTCGGGCAATTACAATGTAACACTATATATTTATGTACAGTATAACAGCTATTTATAGTTAGTCATTAATCATACAGATGTGCGAATGATCTTCAAATGGTAACTGACAGGCTTGTGCGAATTTTAAATTATCATATGTAGATATTAATCCAATTTTTTGTACCACATTCTTTACTAAGGAGATTCTGGCGTTTTAAATTTCGCTGCGTATATACTATTTGAACGTAACGTCCATAGAGCATTGGGTAAACGGGATCAGAAGCGTTGTTACCCGCGTCTTGAGTTCTGAATCTATATTTGAAGCTTCCTATTTCTGTACGTATTATGCTCCCTTGTTTTATATTGCCGTGTCTGCAAGAGGGTTCCAATATCTTATAGGTGGGTATCGGTAGGCGGCAAGTTACGAGTTTGTGTTGGTGGAGGAAGGAACGAGTGTGATGCCGGGATATTAAACACTGGTGGCTTGGTGTGACCGGTCGGCGGGGCGGCGCTGCTCCTGGTATGTTGGTGTGCTCTCTGGTGCCGAGCGCCTTACTCTTATATATACACCTAAGATTGACTTTGAGTTAAGTAAAGAGTGAATTACTATGTCCACCCACTTGGGTGAGGTTGTGTGGGGGTTTATCCAGTGTCAGTTGTATCATTTGGCCTAAATGTATTCCTGGAGGGACAAGACAACTCTTACATTGTATTGTAGTAATATTTGTCTATGTACTTTTGTCAATATCTGGTTATGGACTTTGAGCCAGGAAGGCTGTATCGTTGATTTATCATCAGAGGAGAAGCTGTACTCGTCAATAACCTGATTTTTACCAGAGTTACCTGAGGGGCCACTAACCCTAGTGGCCTCGACGAGGACAGGAAGCCGTCGGCTTGTCGAGGGTCCCCCCCTCCCCTCATATCTGGTTAAGACTACAATAAGCAAGTATTGCGGCCAGGTCACACTAGCGGCCTCCGGCAGGTCACGTCACTCGGGTCTTCCCAGTGAGAAAAATATTGTATTGACCAAATAAACGTGACTTTAACAAATAATCCAAACCCCACACACATAGTTCATTTATTATGCACCCCATACCATTCCAGTAGGTGGTAAAATGAAAACATTGATTTGTTTCGGGTCCCCTTCTCCAATTTTTAAAATAGAATCGAAATGTCACTTTTTACGCACTGGGTGGTTTTTATATTGCTATATCCTAGGCAAGACATTGGTGAATAAATAGTGTCTCCTGTTTTGACATTAGGCCTGATGTAATGCGTACGCGGTGAGTTTAGTAAAACAGAATCGTACTGTACACCTAGTATAGTACAGTACCTGTATTTTGCTTATTTATTTGTTGTCGTCTGTGAAAAAGTTCTATATCATGTGCATGGGGCCAATGATTGATGTAGTTTTAGATTTTGTATATGAAAAAAAGTAAAAATAATCACGGGCCCTTGTGGATTTGTTCGAGGGTTTGAACCTTCGTTTGGGATGATCCCAGAAGTTCCTTAGTAGGCTGCGGCATGACACAAGTTCGAACCTTCATCATTGCCCTTGTGTATTTGTTCATATGATGCATCACGCTATTATGATTTCTGTGTGTAATAATAATATTGTATTTACAGTAAGGTACAATAGGTTGGTGAGATTACAAGGATCCATTAGTGATGTTTTTATTCCTGCAATGCCACTAACACAGCATTTTGAGCAGCCAAATATTTTGGATTCCTCCCTTTCACCAATGACTTTTTGCTACTCCTAACTTTTGTATGATTCTTGTAGCTTTAGCTTAATTGTTTGTCCCTCCACATAGCCTCCTTTGCCATTCTTGGGCTAGGATAGGGGGTTCAAGTTATCATCGCCTCTAGAGGGAATGTCGTTCTAGCTCCAGTTTGCAGATTTTCTGTTGTATTATGTGGCTTGATCATATTTCTAGAGATACTAAGTCTATTTTTTTGTTTTGTTTTGAGGCATTGATTTGCGTTTGTATTTTCTAGCTGATCTAACCTCCTTATTTCTGTGAAGTCTAGGTTTATTAATTCCCAGTCAATGTGTTCTTATTAAATGAATTTGCTGAATCCTCCTCCTCCTCCTAGGATTTAGAACTGGCTGTGCAGGTCTATTGCCCATTTTTGACAACTTGAATTAGGTTGTAATCCGAGTAATGAGTACTGTATTTGCAATCATTGTTCCTGATCAAGTTGGTTATCTATTAAAATAAGATTGTGTTTTCTAGTTGGTTCTATTTTTTTTGCTGATTTAAGGCAAATCTGCCTCGCATCTGCAAGTGGTCATTTGTGTGTGACATTTAAACTACTCCCCGAGATTGTCTCGAATATAACTGTACAGTAGTTGCCACATCTTTCCATTTTAGGTGCCATAGGTTGAGGTTCCCAAGCAATTGATGATTGGGGCTGGATTTGTAAGCAGTAACGATTTAAACGATTCTTCGCGGCAGGGGATCATATTCCAGGGACCTGCCCGAAACGCTACGCGTACTAGTGGCTCTACAAGAATGTAACAACTCTTGTATATATTTAAAAAAAAAAAAAAAAAAAAAAATATTCCATTTTCATTAGTTGGTTATTAAACTGCTAAGATTCGTCTCTGGTCACTTGTATGCCATGACAATAACAACATTTATGATCTTTTTGATTAGCAGCACTTCCACCACATTATGGTGTTTAGCAGCTCAGTGCAGATGAGTGAGTGTAATGAACAGGCTGACCCCCCCCCCCCCACCCCCCCCCACCCAGTAATCTTTCCTGTCGTCTCTGAATTTTTTTTTGTACTCGTCTCCATATTTCACTATCATGGTAATCCTTTGTGTAATGGCTTATTTGCTGCTGCTTTTTTTCTCCCTTGATACAAACAAGAAATTTGTATTAAAATTGGTGGTGAAACCTTTACTAGTAGGAGTACTGTACTGCTTTGGTAGTTTTATAAGTACAGTAACATTTTATTTTAATTGACTGCAGTATATAAGCTTGTCGAATTCTTATATTAAGAGACTTAAATTTTTTCAGATTGTGGTTTACATTTTTATTGTTGGTATCCTCCTTTTTTTTGTGCTGAATTCAGTTTTACTGGATTTGAATTGTAAACTTTAATGAATTGAGTAATTTATAAGATTGTAACCAATGTTATGGGAAAAAACTACATGGAACCATGATCCAACATATCCAAACTTTTCTGGCTTATTAAGGGTTAACTCATAAGATGATTGAGATAATCTTGAAGACCCACTATTGTCCTATTTAGGTTCTTTTCTACAGATCCACTAAATATGTTTTGAGTTGAAATTGATGCTGTATCCTAAATGATGCAAACATTTGGTAGGTTTTAATGCAGTGGGCTATATTATTTTTTTTGCACACCAGTGATTTATCCATTTAATGTTTTTGAAATGTTAGTATAGTATAGATTAAAGTCACTGGTATCTGTCCAGCTGTTAGTATCCTAGCACCAGAGCTGTAAAGTCCTGTACAGACTGTACTAATGGAAAGACTAAAATCATAATGCCACTAACTACAAATGTACGAAATTGTACAGATAAATATTAGAATATTTGGGGGTTTCCAAGACCTGTGGCCTTCAGAAGAAGTTTGGGTCTAGTAACTGCAGCCATTTGTCAGTGATGGGTTAAGTTGGATGTGATTAGTTTGGGGTAGGTGTGCTTGAGGAGTAATAACACATGGTTCAAGCTTCTCCAATTACTCTACCGGTTTAGGTAGCATGCCCAAACTTGGGGTGGAATTCAACAGAAGCCTACTGAGGGCCTTGGTCCTGAGACTAATGAGGTACTCATTCCGTGTCTTGACGTCTTGCTCTTGAGAATAAGATGCTTACGTAATTAGGGGCTCAGATATTCGGCTCATGAGCATGAAGGGCAACCCAGTCTGTGATGTCATTACCTGGAATTTCAGTAACATGGGATTCATTGGAGAAGAATTTTGCAGGCTGTATCACAGACAATTTTTTTCCCCACATCTTGTCCAAAACAGTGTGTTAGTGGCTTTAGGAATAGTATATACTAACTCTATCTAGAAATCCAACATTCTGCTTGTAACTTATTTTCTATGTACATACAGTATGTACTTTTACCTAAATAAATTATTTTATTTATAAATGCCAGGTGAATGTGTTAGACTAGTATATTTGAAGAGTTCTAGACATTTTTGGTGTTTAGCTTTATCTAACGATGTACTGTACCCCTTGTTGCTAGTTTTATTTTGTTTTGCTGCAGGTGGCAGACAATTCGTGCATTTCATTGCATGAATAGCTACTTTAGGCTTATCATTGTTAAACTATACTACTGTACTTTGATTAATATGGAATTTTGTCAATAATATTTAAAGCAGATTGGAAGAATCAATTTTGGGGTCAGTTACAGTAAGTAAAAATAGTTGTATTTGATGTTGGAATGTTATGAGCTGCTGTACTAACAGACTGCAGGACTATTTTTTTTTACCTTCGTTATGATTTCAGAGAAGTATTGGTGAATTAAAAGTCGAGCACTATGGAGTCGTTAACAGCACAGTTCGATGACCTCATCCGATGTATGCAGGTCCTTGCTGACCCAGCAGAGGAGAGTAAGTGGACTTTTGGAAGTAACTTGTCCATATCTGGTAAGGTCTCCCAATAATGATAGTGCCATAGTTTTCAGATTTTTTTTTCCAAAATGTGTGTTGTGCAGTCTGCAGAATGGAAAAAAATCAGTCAGTTATGATTAATTAGGGAACAGTATATTTATAACATATCTGGAACACACACCTTGAGTTTCAAGTTAATTGGATAATATTTTATATGCCCTGTATTAGAAAATAGATACAGTATCCCCCCCTCCCATTATTTTTAACCCTTAAACAGCACGGATTAAGGGGTCGAGAAGCTAAAAATATTTAGAATTGTGTAAAAATTACTTGAAAATGTTAAGCAAATCTCCAACTTATTGGCTTCAGCATTGTGAAACTTTCCTCAAAATATTTTCAGAAATTGATTTTATAATTTTTTTTTAAAAAGAACATTGTATTAAGAACAGCAGCTCCTATTAACTGGAACTAAGAGATAATGCAGTAATAGAGATGTCAGCACCTGTCCAAGGCACAGAGAAGAATACAGTAGTAGTAAGAAGTGTCTACAAAGTGGATATGCAGCTGGTGCCTTTATGGCATTGCCGAGTAATATGATATCACAAGTAATAGTGAATGTGTTATTATGCTTTTTGTTATATATCATATATATACATTGCCCAATGTTAATGTTACTTTTATTAATGTCCAAATTTCTTTTTTATGGGGAATTTTTTTTTTTTTTTTAATCTGATTTTGTTGTAACCTTTAAATCCTAGAGAATGCATACCTGTCCCTAACTAGGGACGGGTCTCTAACTTCCCCTAACTTCATCCCTGTGAAGATAGAATGAAATTGGTCAATAAAATAAATCGGTCACAACTCGCAGAACTTGGGACTTTGAATTTTTTTTTGGCTGATATTTTTCAGAGATTTCAAACTTTATTTTCTTTCTCCAAGTTGTTTTAAATAGGGACCAAATTAGGGTTTTTTACTTATATAAAGTATACCCTAAATATATCTCCTAAATCATTATAATTATTCCTGTAATTTTTTTTTTCTTTTGAGGGATTATTTTTTCTTGACTTCATTTCAACACACACTGATCTACAACTTTCACATATTCAAGTATGAATTCCAAGCAATGTTTATTAAAACATACAAGTAAATTAACGAATTCAAACTACAGTACCTTTATTCAATGTCGATAATTTCAACTTCAATTACAGTATCTCTAAAACTAGAGTTTCAACTTTGAGTGGCTTCTAAAAGTCCTGTTTCTGACCGATTCTTACCATTTTGACATTGTATGCATAGCCGTCTGTTCTACAATCCCTTGAGAATGGATTTTTCATAAACTCTAAACGTTTGGAGTTGTGCATTTTTTGTCTAAAATTACCGCACATTTCAATTGCCATATTGACGATTTTTTTTTTTTTATAGTTAAGTACAGTATACTGGAAACCTGTATTGTAATTTTCTGAAAATGATCATATGCTATTCTGAGAGCATAATAACGCCAAATGAATAACTGGTGATAGCTCATATTTTTTGATCTTTTAAAATCTGAAGTTTTCAATTTTAAATTTTTAAATTATTTTTGATTTTCTGGTTTTTCAAGTTGATAAAGTGACAAGGTTGGAGCATTTGCTGAGTTGATTGTCCACAAAAAATTGGAAATTGTTTTTACAAGTTTTAAAAACTGAAGTTATGCCCAATCATGTGTGTGTTTTGTGCCGTTTAAGGGTTAATGACAGTTGGAAATGGCATGGTTTTTCTCTTGCTACATATATAACTTTATTTTTACACCCTTAGCAGGATAGTGTCACAGCCGAAGGTTTAAACCAAGTGCAAAATACCATTAGTATGGGCAGAAGATCTAACAGTATTGGCTTAAAGATAGTGTATTTTACATAAAATAAAAACTCGGCGTGAAAATTGATTTGGTGGAAGACAAAAATTTTAATCTAATGTCAACAAAGTCTTCCAGTGCAAATGTATATTAATAACATATATTATTATTGAATGGATGATAATAAAAAACACCATGTTCAGTGGTGATAACTTGCAGGAATTTGGTGTGGAAGAACTAAGATCTTAAGTGACAAGAAATGAGAAGGAAAATAAGAATGAAATTTGGGAGGAAAGAAGAGATACTATAGATGCAATTGGCTGGAAGGGACAATGAGAGAGGTAATGGGTCTAGTAAAGTGAAGACAGGATGCGGTACAAGACTCTTATTAGATCTCTTCATAAAACTGAATGACCAAAGGAAAGATCTCAGAATTATATCTGACCTAACGCTCAAAGGTTAAAATAAAAACTACCATAACATTTGTGTGGAAAATCACACAAGGAGTGATGTGATTGGGTGGGTATTGAACCCTTCAAAACAGGATGCACTATCATCATTGTTCTTGTCTAAATATTAGTCGTATGGAATACTGTTCAGTCCTGTATTTCCTTTAAACTAAGGAAGATACATATTTACACTGGAAAATATACACAACTAGTGTATAGCACTTCTTAAATCAAATTAAGCACTTGACTCTTAAAGTGCGCATCACGTCATATGACGTGTTGGACGTTGTTCCAGTCAACTGCGCACCACGTCATATAATGTGTTGGAGTACTACGCAAGATTTAAACGGCCCGCGGATACACGGGGTTCACCACACCTTCATCAGGGTTCTTGTAAACAGACGCCATTTAAAAAAAAAATCGTGGGCCAAACTCCCGGGTGTTATTGGCCTCGGTATTGAGTGAGCAACCAAGCCTGACGCACGCAGCATGAGCTAACAGCACTGCTGTTCAGCTTGTGACCACAGCATCGCCTAAAAATGCCAAAATATACTTGTCCATGCTATTATGTAGCGATGATGATATTACAGAAGACCCCTGACTGTGGTAAAACTGACCAGGGTTCTGATAATGGCAGGATTGTGGTGATATTTAGCGCTGTGCGCCATGGAGGGAGGAGTAATGCTGTGGGAGGGAGGATGGAGGCGATGTCTTCTGACTGTGTGTGGCCACCTTTTATTAACTGCACTCAGCATACCAGCTTAGTGGTTCGCTATGGTGAACACAAATGTAGATACCTATATATAACGTGTGTATAGAGAGTATAAACAGCAAGAGAAGGTTTGGAGCCGCCATTTTGGTGAGGGCAGTGGCCTCATCTGCACGACGACACCGTGCAGACGACGGTGTTGTTTACTGGTTACCACGATGGTCTTTGGGCACCATACCAGTTTATTTGTACAAGTATGGTGAATAAAACAGGTAGATATTTATATGTAATGTGTGTATATAGCGTAATAACACCACACAGTATTGGAGGAGAAATATTAGTGCGTCTGGCCTTGAGGGCGGCAGCCATCAGCTGACTGTGTGAGGTCCTACGTCTTTGTGCCTTTACTCACCATACAAGCTTAGATGTACAGTTATGGTGAACAAAACGTGTAGATACTTATATATAACGTCTGTATATGGTGAATTATAGCAAAAACAGTATTGTGGGAGGAGAATGTGGGTGAGTCAGATGACTGGAGGGAGGGTGGGAGTGGCTGGCTTGTACACGGCGGTCACTCCTCGTTACTTTTTGACTCGTAATAGCTACTTAGCGGTTCGTTATAGTGAACAAAACATGCAGATACTTATATATAACCTGTGCTTATAGTGTAATAACCGACAAAGTATTTGTTCACTGATTGATGAACATAATTGAATCAACAATATGCACACCATATTTTTGAGTACAGCAATGATTCACTCATTTTATTATATAAATATATCAAACTACACACTATTGAATAATATTACAGCAAAAAAAACTATGAAAAATCAATCAGAGACATTGAAATAATTAGGTAATTATCTCTTTGTGGCAACTCCGGCTTGACAGCTGGCAATCAACAGACCGCCTGGGACGCATGCCGAGTCAGCGCCTATAATTTGCCAGACTTCCCCGCCCTATAGCGGGCAATATATGCCACTTACGATTTTTTTATTATTTTTCCCGTGATCAGTGAACACAAATTAACAGGTTAGGAAGAATTTTTTTTTTTTTTTTTTCAAAATGACATGCGCCTGTGGGGATGACAGGATATTAAACCCCGAGCATGTTAAGGGTTAAACTACAGTGCAGTACTTTTATTGCCTCCAAACATCTAAGTTGCTCTTATTGGAACTGATGAGATTTTGTAATTTATTTATGGTATATGTAATTGTTAATTTCATAATTTTTAATATTTTTATAATAAACAGGCAGTAGATATGCATTCTTTTAATTTGAATAATCTATTATCAACTTCTATGTAGGCTACAAAATACATTAGCCCAAAGAACTAGGTTCATAGTAATATTTGTAAGAACTTTGTGAACCACCAAAGTTAAAGGGGGCCAGACTAGGGAATAATATACTGTATTTACTAAATATAGTACATCATAAACATGGTAACTTAACACTTTCCGGCTATGAGGACTCATCCCGGCGTCCTGTTTCGCCTACCCGCTTCCGCTATGTGGACATAAACTTGTGTCCTCTTTTAAAATATTTGTATAAAATTCAATTTTTATCCGATTTACTTTGGGTTTGTTTCAAACTGCGCGCCATGAGGCTCTTTCTCACCAATAGGCTGCATGGTACAATAAGTTCAGGAAAGGTTCACAAACATAACAAAAGTAAAAACATTTTGTGTGTGTTTGACTCTCACTGATATGTTCCAGCGTTGTTTTATATTTGGCGCTATTCTATCTTACGCTTTGTTGATCTTTTCTACCTACGGGCTCATAGAACATTCTATTGCGAACACATTGACACAAAAATGAATGACGTACATAGAATAGTATCCACTCAATTTAACAGCCTATATGGGGCTGAGCCCAAGTCGTTATTTACGGAGCTCCGTTATTTCCGACGTTAAGTTGGGTCGGGTAATTTTTCAAGTAACATTCAGGTAGGATATATTTTATACTGTATAACTAAAATTAAATAAAGTTCATTGTGTAATTGCATTCCAATTTAGTGCACGGCCGACGATTAAGCCAGTTGCTGGCTGCTGCATGGATGATGTGTGAACACGCTCTGATCAAGTCCAGATGGGTGGGAAAAAATTGATTCATTCCTTTGTATTGAAAAATATTTTATGTATCAATCAGTGAGTTAATATTGTCTTAATAAAATTTTAGAGATGTGTTTTGATTTACCCTGAACAGTGCAGGTAATGTATTTTTAATGTTACGACACAGGCTGTGGCGGCCATGCCATAACAATGGCGATCGAGCCTTGTCACTGAGAGCTAGCCAAGACGAAATATTTTGAGCTCACCTTTTCTCTGCTGACGATAGAATATACATTTGCAGAGACTAATATGTAGCTTTTGTTGAAAAAAAACAATGAATATCTTGTAATACTATAATAAAATTGGTAACTTTTAATGAAGCTGAAGATTACGAAGCTGTGAAGATTACGTCATCCTCTGCAGCGCTTGTTTTATATTGTTTATATTGTATACAGGGTACATACTGTATGTACAGTACACTTATTTTCAGGCACTCACTTCACACAACAGCTAGCCTTACTACTAATTCACATGAGTTCTAATTCTACTTCACTATTGACAATTATGTTGAATGTTAAACTCTGCTGCTGCTCATGCATGAGAATATCCTTTATCAAGTTTCTTAATTAACTCCAGCTTCTGTGCAACCATCAGGCGCTTCCTTTGGGTAACTTTTGGCATTTTGTAAATTAAAAAGATCACAATTACAGTACAGTAATATCCTTCACAATTGAAGCTAGCCGCGCGAGTTCACGGTAAACAATGGGAACACATGGCCCGGCGGAGTACATACTAGGTCCGTGGGAAAAAAAATACCTAGTGCCTATACATACTATAAAAGGTATTTAATAAGAAAACAAAGACTTTTGCTTAATAAAAACTGTTTCAAAATATTTTATTAATAATAATTTACAATTTTCTTCATTAAAGTGAATCATTTTAAAAGAAAATTAAGATGTAATATATGACTCTGGACGATCCAGGTCGGTGGCGGCCTGGTCGCCATGTGAGGGGACGCTGATGCCACAACAAACCCAATACTGACTGTCGGTAATATCGACCGCAGACCAGTATAGCAGGCTCTAGATACTGGGCTCCCAAACCGGTCGTTAATACCGGCAGATCGGTATAAAAGAGGCCGTTAAATTGAGTGGATACTGTAATGTCATGAGAATGAAATAAGTATAAACTTTCAAAGCGCCGTGCGTCGTCCCGTCACCGACACCGGGTAACAATTTCACCACTTCCCACACTCTTGCGGGCGGGCCGCAATCATTATTCTACGCTTATATTCATATCACCGTGTTGGGAATTTCATTGTGAGTCCATTGATACCAAAATTAACGCTGTAGGACAAGTGTGGAGGTGATAACAATCCCAAGAGTAAAAATATTTTGTTGCTGTTGAGCGCTCACGGCGAGTCATCTACGTAGTTATTTATTTGGTGCTGGTATCCCTATACGTTTCGTGACTTTTTTTACTGATGTTCTTCTAGAGAATTTTATTGCGAACACGTTGGTACCAAAATGAAATACGTAGCTCAAGAACTAAGGTCAGGAGAGTAAAAAGAGTATACACATTTTTGTTTTTACGCTTACGCGGCAAATCGCCGGGAGCACTTACGGTTGTTTTTTTTTACATTCGCCTGGAGCTGGAAAGTGTTAATAATGGCCCTCTAGTACAGCAGATATTTTTAAGTGTTTTGTCTGGGGGTGTGTTAATAAAAATACTTTTTGTTTCTGTAGAGTTCCTGGAATTTGTGGAGAGTGAAGAACGGTATCATAATCACATCCATAGCTTAGAAGTTGAAGTAATGCGGTTGCAAAAACAAACGATGCAACAGCAGAAAGAAGTAAAGGCTTTGGAGATGAAGCTTAAAAATGCACGACACTTATTTGATGTTGAGAAGGTGAAACGAATCTCTGTCGAGACCGAAAAGAATGACTTGGTAAGTAGCCCATCTTGATGCTATCCAGTACTTGGCTATATTCTTGACTTTATCATATATGTTATATTGACATTTAATTAAAGAAGTTAATGCAATGCGACTCATTTCCAAGAAACTAATAAGACAGGCAGTATTAGAAAAGGAAGCTTGTGGATGTGCAATATACACTGCTGTCCTTGACAGCAGTGTATAGTTTTTATTTTTTAATACTTAACAACTACACACACGAACTGTTGATGGCCACCACTGTATCAGAGACCCTGAAACAGAATCCAGTAGTAACTGGAGCATGCACAAGGGTTAGATAAGCATCATAAACTTTGTATTGTATACTATAAAACAGTAACATCAAAGCTTATTTAATTTGTAAAAGTATAAAAATTTAAATTCACTTGGAAAAATCTCAGTACTCAAACATGCCACTTGAGCAACTTTTTTTTTTTTCTTTTACAAATATTGGGAAAACCTTATGGTCTGAACTGAAGTTTATTTATTAAATGAGAACAATTATCTTTAAAAGTTAAGTGGACAGTGTTTTAACTCAAGCCAAGAAATCGGCAATCTCGACACCATTCGTTGGCCAGGTAGTTAAATAACTTTAAAAGACGTTTCAGCAGTCTAAACATGTACATTTATATTATACCTACCTTTGCAAAGTCTTTGACGCTTCTATAATTTTCTTATTATCCACTGTTAGTCATGTACTCGTGCATCTCAGACTAGATGGGTACTTGAAGTGGTATGCAGACCATGAGTCACAATGTGGGTGAAGCTATTATGACCAAACCACACATCAGAAGATGGAGAAACGATGATGTTTCGATCTGTCCTGAACCATTATAAAGTCAAAATGTCGTTGTTTCTACATCTTCTGATGTGTGGTTTGGTCATCACTTTTTTTTTTTTTTTTTTTTTTGAGAGAGATATATACAAGAGTTGTTACATTCTTGTACAGCCACTAGTACGCGTAGCGTTTCGGGCAGGTCCCTGGAATACGATCCCCGCCGCGAAGAATCGTTGTTACATCCAAGTACACATTTTACTGTTGCGTTAAACAGAGGCTACAGTTAAGGAATTGCGCCCAGTAAATCCTCCCCGGCCAGGATACGAACCCATGACATAGCGCTCGCGGAACGCCAGGCGAGTGTCTTACCACTACACCACGGAGACTTTAAGTGGTATTTCTTTATTTCCCCCTTTAATTTGCCACTTCTTGGCCTTGTATCTGGTAGTGTTTTGGACTGGGTTTGTGGCACAGCTGGTTTGCATTGCAAACCAGCTGTGCAAAAAAAGAAAGGTGCAAATGGCAAAAGAAAGGTGCAAATTATATACTTTATACAAGAGCTGTTCGAGTCTATTGACACCCAGGGGAGCGAGAGTAGATCTTGCAGCTTGGAGCACGAAGAGTGTTCTGAGGTCTGGCTGGTGGTGAGCTGCTTATATATGCGGTCAGACCTGATGAAGATGGCGCTGATGTGCATGTAACTATCGCTGGCAGTCTTAAACTAGCGGTTTAGCTGGTCGAGTGGAGTTGGCCCCAGACAGCTGTCTCGGATGCTTGAGGATGGAGGGAAGGGGGGGGGGGTGTCTTGTATAGACACAGGCTTCTGAGCACATATTATCGTTGTTGAATTCATATACTCGAGTATGCAGATATGTTGTTGAATAGGTGGTAAAGGGATAGGCAGGATCTCCTTGCTTAAGCAAGAGATTTTCGTAACAACATACATAGCCACAAGTAGCAATGAAGTTGCTACTAACAACTGAATTTGTGGCTGCATCACTTTGAACCCAAGATTTCAAGAGTACATAAGAATTTTAAAGATTTATTCCATAGTGCTTCAGGTTGTCTAATAATGTCCAGTATGTTCACACTGCATGATTACTGCCTGATGTACCAAAAGTCACATCTGTGCTAAACACAATGCCTCATTAACAAAAACTTTACAAAAATCGTGCTTAAAAATGTCTTCAGTACTATAATTGTGAGGTCTCGCTGCCTTTTCCTTACAGTACATGTACGTTAATTAAAAATGGAAATACAGAACATTTGTAATATAAAGATGCACTTAAAATAAGAGAACAAAGTGGTTGGCACGATTTTGAATTCGCAGGACTAAAACAAACCAGCAAAGTACCGCAGTGTGTGGTACATTTTATTAAAGGCACAGGGAATGGGAACAATAGAGCATGTAAATCATTTCTCATTCACCCAGATTAACTGAACGTTCTCAAATAACAATTAGGAAAAATGAGGTAAACAACCTCATAAATGAGGCAAGCACCTCGCACACTCCCTCCACACACCCTCAGTCGTGAGAGTTGGGATCCCCTCTGAGTATGGTGGAGGTGCAGGAATGCTACCCTCAAAAAAAAAAAATTACATGGGAAATCTATTTTACACTGACATAAACATTCTCTAATACAATTTAAAATGCACGCAAACACTGACGAATGAAATAAAAACAAAACACTTAGATTAATATAATGCAACTAAAAATTACATAAGTCATTACATGATCAAAACATAGTCTGTGCAATGTTCTCACTGATTTAGTTGCATTCCATTGTGGAAGATATTTTATTTCAATATATAAAAGATGATCTTTCACTGTTCTTTGATAATTGTGTACTGTACCATTGTCTTTAGTTCATGTGTGAGTAATTGCCATTTTTATTAGGCAGTACAGATTGGCATGGTAATGGACCTTCTTGGAAGAGGTCAGGTCAATGAGACAAAGGAGAAGTTGCAGCAGTTGCAGAATTCTTTCACTTTCATCGGAGGGACCGACCAACGTCGCAGCGTGAAAGACCACTCGCCAGTTCCCTTGTCCACCATCACAGAAGATCATGATTCTGTAGGTAAGCAAGCTCACATTAATGAAATCCATTTGTCATTTTATAATATTTGTGCAGGGTTGCAAGCTTCAACCTTGCAAGCTTGCTTCGTGCAGAGTTGACATTCGATCCCAGATGGTCCAAGTGGTTGAGAACATAGCTCCTTGTCCTTATATCCCTTCCAAGTGCTATGTGATGATACTGGCTTGTGTGCTCTCCTCATAATTATCTTAGCATGCATATATATATATATATATATATATATATATTATACTGTATAGTTAAACTTAAAATCAATAAAAGTGTGCTGAGCAGAGAAGTCCTACTTTCTGAGCAGTCTGTCAGATTCTCCGTGGAACAGGAGCCAACTGGACGGTTAGGTAATGTCACTATGCTAGGCTCTCATGACTTGTCCCACCCCAAGCCTGATCAGGGTTTATGCAAATTGTTCAATCATGGATCTCAGATGGTGGGCAAAAGAGCATATGTTGAGTAAATAAAAGAAGGCATCACTGAGGGACCAGCCCACTGACACAGTAGGGAGGAATACCCCTCAACACCCCCCTTTTGCATGTGCTAATAAGCAACAGAAGGATAGCTATTTAATACTCTGGGAATTACCATTGCCAACTAAAGGTACATGCTGCCACTGTGTAGCAGCACTACTTGCACAAGTAAAGTGTTGAAGGTAACAAGCACCCCACTAAGTCTAGACCACTCAATCCAGCTCGAGGATGTGTGGACCAAAGGGGTGGAAATGGGAGTATCCAGGATAACTGCTCAGAAAGCAGTCACTATGCTCAGTGCTGAGTCAGCTCTTCATGTTAAACCAAAAGACCAAAGTAGATTTATGATGGGGTACTGCCTATAGCGTTGGATCAAAGTGAACTGAAGAATAATGAAGGATAACTACTTCTCTACTTACCCTAGTGCCGCACAATCGTAAAACAGAAGTGGCAAAGGGCAGCTCTTTGCAATCAAGTTTGGTTTAGCAATAAAAAAAAAAAGCAATTGAAGTTGGCTTGCTTTGAGGTCACATGCCTTTGAGGCCCCACATTCTGTTTGTGACTTGAGTCAACCATCCATGAAGTGGCATCTGATGTGCCTTTGAATAAAAATGTCATTGACTGGGTTGAGGAACAGCGTGACTGCATGAGACTCCTGGAAATGCTGACACTATGGCTCGAATGGATAGAGGGTGTATGTTGAATTACACGGGGGAAAGAACCGGTCTAAAATTGCACAATGGCCTGTGCCGGAAGGCAGGACCCCTCATTCTTTGTCATGAATGGAGGCAATGCCTGAAGCCGAACTAACTTGCCCAGAGGACAAAACCTAGTCCTGCAGGGTGCCTAATAAGAGCTTGTAGTCATTAAATTGTCTTCATTTCACACGTTCCTACTCTATTGTCTCTAGTTCTGGTAAGTGCTCTATGAAATTTGCTTTGGTTTTCTCATTTCACTCGATGTTGAGAGCTGGCTGAGGGAGCATCTAAGAGGCCCCAGCTCAGAAATAGGGTGTTGAGCATAGTGAAACACAATAATACTCAGTGGTTCCCCTCTTTTAATTCGTTGTTCCTGTGCCAACGTTGTCTTCTGGGCATCTTCTCCAAGCATAGTTGATTAGGTCTATGTATCCACTTGTGTGTTGTGACCTGTATATTTCAGTAGGTTGCAAAGCACACAGCTTGCATTTCATAGTTTTATGGACCATTGTTATTCAAGAACGTTGCTCAATTAAGAAGCCAGGAGTGCAATATATCAACCTTCCTCAAACACACTCAAATTGTTTGTGCATAATCTACATGGTAAATGCTCCAACTTTTCCTAATGTATCAATATCATAACAGAATAGGAAAAAGAAAATTATATAGTATATCTAAATAGAGTTGACAATTTAAAATTAACAAAAAAATATCCTTATGAATGGGGATATGTCTTGCATAACCCCCATATGTAAGGATATTTTTGGATCTTCAAGATTCTAGGGTATATTGAGGATTTGGATGTGGGATGGAAGTCTGGATTTAGCTTTTTTTTTCTAATTGAGAAAATAAATTTCCTTTAGTGTTTGTAGACTGGTAACTTTGCCATTTATATACCTACATTCATTCTGAGAGGGCTCATTTGGTGTTTTTTTTTTGGTGCTTGCCACCTGGAAAGCTCCACCTAGTTCAATCCACACTAGACACTTGTGGGTCATTGTAATCCTGCTGAGGACCAAGAGGCCAAAATCCTGGCCCCCCCCCCCCCCCCTCCCCCTATATAAAAGTGCAAAAGGCAGGGGAACCCTAGATGACCCGAGCCAAAAGCAGACCAAGAGAAAGGAGGGCGAACTAAAACAATCTGCAAAGTAACTGCAGCATGGAAAATGAAAAGACGCTCGGAACAAATGAACCGCCTGGTAGTCGAGCAGTTCACTCGATAATTCCACTTGTGCACCTTCCTCCTCGATCCACTAGCCTTGTTTGTCAATCATTTTGTCTGGCATGAGGAATCAGGACTTAGCAGTTGCATACCCCATTCCTGCCACAATGCACTTAGTCGTGTTCTTCAGGTTAGTGTTGGCCATTCTACACAGTTTTGTCCAGTTGGGGCCATTTAACTGGCCCCTACCAGTTAAGTTGTTCTATACACGTGTGTTCATCTCACTTGTGTGGACTATGATTAACTGTTCATGCTTGAAGTGCCCTGTCTCCTAGCATTTTATACCTGGCAAGCTAAATACCTCGTTCAGCCTTAACATTTTCATAATTTTTCTTGAAAGTTATGGATGGAATTAACTTTAAAAATCTCTTCCTTCAGTGCTTTACACTTCCTGACCACCATTAGAGAACAAAAGCTTCCTTCCATATCTATGACTCGGTTGCTTGTTCAGATTTCACCGCTGTCCCCTTGTCCCACCTCTTTAATTTAAATAGGATTCCTTTGTCCACTTTGTTTATTCCTCTCCAGATTCTGTATTGATAAATATCTTCTATTTATTATCTCCAATTTATTCTATTACCTACCTCACAAATATAAATGCCAAGGATTTGTTCCTGGCTTCCAGCCCTTGTGTGTCAGGGGAAGCCATTTTTATTCAAGCAAATGGCATTTGTACGTCTTGTGTATATTAGAGATGTACATATACCTGTCATCTGCATGCGAGATATTGCAACCTGTTAAAACACTGCGTACTTACACTTGCAGCTAATTATTCTAAGATATCCTGCCCAAGGATGCAATTCATGATTGCCTCGCATAATTTAACCATGATGGTGTTGTGCTTCATTTGATGTGATGAAGCATAGGACTTCAGAAGTTTAGTACTTTGACAGGTGAGGCAGTACAATAATCTTCATTCCAGATACCATTATGGATGTGTCACAAATGGACATAACGGAAGATGATGATTTGGATGAATCGCGCCTCAGATCTGGACGGAATTATAAGCGCAAGTCATCACCAGATCGCCATGAAAGGTCGGGTAACAAGAGATCCTCAGCCAGGAGGAGTGAAAATGTAAGTACTGTATTGTATGTTTTTTATTTAGACTCAAAATTTATTAATAAAGTTTTAATTGTTCTGCTGTCAAGTTAATTGATTAGAAGTCATGGAGAATCAAATGACATACATTGGGAGAAATAAACCAACCCCACACATGAGTGACAATTTCACTCCATCTTGGAAAAGTATCTGGACGTGATGAGGATCCAGGAAGGACTGAAATGTTCGTTTTCATCTGATTTCAGATGTGGGGGTTGGGTTACTTTTTCAGCCACGTTATTGTGACGTGTATTGCGTGTAGGGAAAACCTAATATGGAACATTTTCCACTGATCTGTTGAAAAATTGAGATTCTTATAAATGAATCCATAGATTTGACTAATACATTTTATATCCAGTTCCTAACAATCAAAACTATTCAATAAATATAATACACAATGAAATCACAAAAGCGTGATATATTAGAGAAAATCTTTGGAGCAGGATGGCGGGACGGAACCCAGGATGCTGGTTCGATCCTGTCGTCCTGCTGCAAAAATTTTAAACTATAAATGCAGCTCGAGCAGCAAGACTGCAAGCAGCCAATTGACTTAGTACTACCTGTATACTAAGTTAAAATGTCAAGCAAATTAGAATGCACGGGACGAAAATAGCTAGGTTTGGGGGGGGGGGAAATGTAGAACTAAATCAGACTTCCTGTAGACATTGTTAGCTAACCCCCTCCATGCCATCAAATGCACAAGCCATTGAGTCCAGTAGGCTCAGGAACCTATACACCAGTTGATTGACAGTTGAGAGGCGGGACCAGAGAGCCAGAGCTCAACCCCTGCAAACAAATAGGCGAGTACAGTACAGTACAGTACACCACACATCACATTATCATCACTATGACCACATACCCCCCCCCCCCCCCCCCCGGTCACCCCTTCCAGTTATCCTAACACTATCTCCCATTCATCCACCAGTTTGTTACACTTATGAAATGTTGACACTCTGGGATACATGTCTTGCTCACCCTCATGTGATTGAACCATATATTCATAGCTTATTTGAATTTTTAGAACTTCTGCATGAAACTTGTAGTTTATCTACAGTATGAAAATATATGCACTGAATATATTATTTTTTTCCTGAACTCAGGAAAGGTGTAGTCATGAGGTGAAGACACAGGTGACGTATTATACTACTGGTGAGGAATTAAAGAAGGTTCACACTGAAGTTCAAGTTAAACCATCTGCTCCACCACATTCAACAGGTTAGTGACTTTTCTTGTCTCGGATCTGTATCTCGACTAACTTGCAAGGAAATTTTAGGTTGAGAATTTGGAAACCCAAGTTGATTTCAGATAAACAATGCATGAATGTTTAGTTCAAACAGATAGGAGTCAACTAGAAGTGAAGATACATTTTATCTGCTCTTCCGAACATTAAAGAAATAATCGGAAACATTATCTTACATATGCTACACAGTACTCTAATCAATAGCTCGTATTTAGTTCAAATTTATTATTTTATTATTATTATTATTATTATATGGTCAAAAGTAGTAACAAGCAGGAAGGATTTTCTTGTAAAAACAGTTTCAGCAATAAAGGCATTGTTGAAAAAAATATGGAGGGAACTCTCAACCATCCCATGGGGAACCATGATAAGTACCAAAACTCCCACTCTAGGAATAGAACAGTTGGCCACCAAAGCATACAGTATCTGTTTGAAATATGCTCCATAGCAGAAGACCAAAATGAGGACTGTCTTGGATAGAGAATACAAGACACTACAAAAGAAAAATGTTTCTTCAATTTCCCTGTTTAGACTAAGAACTTGTGCTAAAGCATTCATGCCAGATTAGAACAAAACTATATAAAATGGGAAACAAATTCCAAAAGAACTTCATGCAAAATCAAAGTAAAAACAAAAAATGTCCACTAATATTGAACCTATATTGTACTTACAAGAAAAGGGGTCTGAACAATGAACAATAGTTATGCTCTCAACAATACAGAGCTTAACAAAGAAATCTGTGAAATCCTGATAGAAAAGTCTGAAGTGATGCATAGGACTCTGATAGACAATTTGAAGGTTCAAGCTCCAGACAGCTTCTTCATAAATGATGTAGACAATTCAGACAATATAACTAATATTAACACAAGTGCAGCAAAATTTGAAAAAGAAATTGACAACATGTACTCAGCCATGTTTCCTGACTCCTTAGACTCTAAATTTATACGTAAATGTAAAGTATCAGTAGCACGAGCACTCACTGTGCCTCGTAGCCTGGTGGATAGCGCGCAGGACTCGTAATTCTGTGGCGGGGGTAGATTCCCGCACGAGGCAGAAACAAATGGGCAAAGTTTCTTTCACCCTAAATGCCCGTTACCAAGCAGTAAATAGGTACCTGGGAGTTAGTCAGCTGTCACGGGCTGCTTCCTGGGGGTGGAGGTCTGGTCGAGGACCGGGCCGCGGGGACACTAAAGCCCCGAAATCATCTCAAGATAACCTCAAGATAACTGTAATAGAGGGAAAGCTTAAAAGACAGGTCAGATTCCAATGGCACTTACATCAGCAGATGTAGCCCCACTCCACAAGGGAGGTAGCAGACGAAATACTGACCTTTCGTACTAACGTCAGATTATAGTAAAATCATGCAGGTTTTATGGAGACCTGCATAACCTAAGGTGAACATGGATCTACTGTAGCATGAAAATCCTACTTTAAACAAACAGCATCATTGTATTTTTTTGGTGGTTTAGCTTTACAATAATGAAAATGTTATTGTTGACAAGCTTTCGTAAACATCCTTACAATATATAAATGTACAGATACTGTGTAGTGCAAGGGTTCTTAACTACATGCATCTTTACCAGTTTTGTGGTTTGCTTTTCATTTTGTGGTGGTTGGGTGAAGTCTTTCCAGGAAAGTTAATGTTTTCCATTTTATTCTTGGTTAGGGTGGTGGGGATGGGGGTGGCAGAATGTGCAAGTTTTTAAAAAACTTATTTGATGCTGGAAATTAGCTTTTTTTTTTTAATTTGGCATTTTATTTCTCCCGCCAAACACACACCGAAACTACGACATTGGCACAATGTTCGAACAAGTTTTAACACCACCTAACCCATTATAACAACCAATATAGCAAGTTGTAACAACGTTCTAATACGTGATAAACGCGTTAAGCCAAGATGTAACAACTTTTAATAAAGTTGTAACAAGCGGAAAATAGACAATTTCGGTTTGTTTCCAGGGCTGTACTTTGCACACTATTAATTTATCCCGGTAGCATTTTGTTCATTCCCTCTTGCATCCCTTACACATTTGTCATGTTTGATGACCTGCCTTTATCCTACCATAATTTAGTTAGATTCTGGGACTATAAATATATGCAAAAACAGAAAGTAAGTTACAAATACAAATGTTTATCTTGGAAATCATTAAATTTCAGACGAGTCATCAGCAGAAGAGAGCCCTGCTAAGAGACCCCAAAGGGGTCCTGCACCTCTGCCACCGACAACTCCACTCAGTAACCGTGCACATTCTGTGTACTCTCCTCATCTACTCCCCAACATCATCTCACCACAGGTAAATGTTATATTTTTGCCAAAAAATCTGTAAGTATTGATACTTGTAATGTAATGTCACAAAGTATTCAATTCTCTCTGAATATTTTTAGGGGCTGAATATGTTAAGAGCACCTGGAATAAAACTACAGGTGCTCTCAACTTGGAGAGCTCCTGTAGTGTTATGTTGTGTGGAGTCGACATATTCGTGAAGTAGTCATGAATATGTTGACTTCATATTCCAACCAGTGGTTGGTGTGTGTGTGTGTGGGGGGGGGGGGGGTGTCACACGTGCGAGACTTGCCTAGTTGTGCTTGCGGGGATTGAGCTCTGACTCTTTGGGCCCGTCTATCATCTGTCAATCAACTTTATTTTTCTCCACAAACCCTCCCTCCTTCCCAGGAAGCAGCCTGTAGCAGCTGTATAACTCCCAGGTACATGTTTGCTGCTAGGTAAACAGGGGCATCAGGGTGAAAGAAACTGCCAATTTGTTTCCGCCTCTTCCGGGGATCGATCCCCGGACTCTAAGACTACGAATCCTGAGTGCTGTCCACTCAGCCGTCAGGTGTGTGAGAGATGGATGGATGGATAGATGGATGGATGGATAGGTGGATGGATGGATGGATAGGTGGGTGGATAGGTGGATGGATGGGTGGATGGATGGATGGATGGGTGGATGGATGGATGGATGGGTGGATGGATGGATAGGTAGATGGATGGATAGGTGGATGGATGGGTGGGTGGATGGATGGGTGGGTGGATGGATGGGTAGGTGGATGGATGGGTGGGTGGATGGATGGATAGGTGGATGGATGGATAGGTGGATGGATGGATGGATAGGTGGATGGATGGATAGGTGGATGGATGGATGGATGGATAGGTGGATGGATGGATAGGTGGATGGATGGATGGGTGGGTGGATGGATGGATAGGTGGATGGATGGATAGGTGGATGGATGGATGGATGGATGGGTGGGTGGATGGATGGATGGATGGGTGGGTGGGTGGATGGATGGATGGGTGGATGGATGGATAGGTGGATGGATGGGTGGGTGGATGGATGGATGGGTGGATGGATGGATAGGTGGGTGGATGGATGGATAGGTGGGTGGATGGATGGATGGGTGGGTGGATGGATAGGTGGGTGGATGGATAGGTGGGTGGATGGATAGGTGGGTGGGTGGATGGATGGATAGGTGGGTGGGTGGATGGATGGATAGGTGGGTGGGTGGATGGAAGGATAGGTGGGTGGATGGATGGAAAGGTTGGATGGATGGATAGGTAGGTTGGATGGATAGATGGATGGGTAGATATTGTAGTTGGAAGAATATATAGCTGGACACGGACTGACAGATAGATGAACTGATGACATTTTACCAATCAAATTTTTCCAAAATTTTTGGTGTATACGGTACTGTATTTGGTTGAATGCCGCCCTCTAAATTTATTTTAACCGCACCTTCCTTAAGAATGTCTAAGGGATGTATCTCATGCTAAGTGAGATACAGACAAAAGATCTAAGCTAGAGCTTAGAGCTAAGATTAGATATAGACAAAAAATACAAGTCACAGCTTTGTGTCATCCTTTGCAGATGACACAAAAATCAGCATGAAAATTACCTCTGCCGAAGACATTGAAAAGTTACAAGCAGATATTAACAAATTTTTTGATTGGGCAGCAGAAAATAACATGTTTAAGTGATAAATTCCAGGTACGGCAAAAATGAGGATCTGAAACATAATACAGGGTACAAAACACAATCGAATCTGCCCATAGTAAGAAAATGGCATGTCAAGGATTTGGGAATGATGATGTCCGACAATCTAACGTTTAGGGAGCATAACCAAGCAAATATTGCGTTAGCCAGGAAAATAATAGGATGGATTACGAGAACTTTCAAATCCAGGGATCCAATCACAATGGTTATACTCATGTCACTTGTGTTGTCCCATCTTGAGTACTGCTCAGTACTCACTTCCCCCCTTCAGAGCAGGAGATTGCTGAAATGGAGGGAATACAGATAACATATACGGCACACATAGACGCGATAAAGCACCTAAATTATTGGGATAGTCTCAAAGCTCTCCAGATGTACTCACTAGAAAAGAGATGAGAGAGATACCAAATAATATACACATGAAAAATACTGGAGGGCCAAGTCCCTAATCTACACAGTAAAATAACAAGGTACTGGAGTGAACGATACGGAAGAAAAGGCAGAAAAGAACCAGTGAAAAGCAGAGTGCCATAGGCACAGAACACTGTATAAACATCAGAGGTCCGCGGTTGTTCAACGTCCTCCCAGCGACTATCGGAAATATTGCCGGAACAACCGTGGACATCTTCAAGATGCAGCAGGTAACAAGCAGCTGCAAGCAGCAAGTGCACTAGAAGATATACCAACTAGTGATGTGGTGTTCATGTTTCCCTGAATTTAATCTTGGAGTGTCAAGAGAGACTTCTCCTTCCTGTGAGTTGTTACCGAGCAGTGTTTGTCCATCTGGCTGTTTGTAATATGCTAGAAAAAGTTATCTGCAACAAGTTGGGTGAAATGCATGGGATGCCCTGGTACAGTATATGTACTGTAGTGTTGCAAGACCTGTGCAGAATTGAAGGAAGGAATGGAAAGAAAACTTGTTTTAGAATTTTTCTTAGATTGTATTAATACTTCAGCATTCCGATTTTATTTTTGTAGAGTACCTGTACAGTATACTGTACTTAATTTGCAAACATATTTGCGAAGTTGAAACATTGATATTGGTATTAAAATCCGTATTTGGAAATGAAAGTTCAGTACTCGGTAGAAAAACACTTGGACCATCTGGAATCAAACTCCGACCTGCAAGAAACGAGACCGCCACTGTAACCAGTCCAGGTTGTAGAGATAATGTTGGGTATGAGGAACGTCTAGTTTTTAAAATTAGTATCGCTCCACTCTTTATAAATACATATGTACCCATTATGTGTTGTATCATACCTCACCATGTATAATGTATTGCCATTTAAGTTGAATATGTGACCATATTAATATTATTGGAAGTGTGGAACTTTTTTACCTTGATTGTTTTACCTTCAGTATTTTGTCATTTTGAAATGAGGTAAATATGAATAAGATGAATGAATAAATATGAAAGTGAAAATTGTAAACTAATATAATTAATAATTATAGTAGTTTGCATTTTTCATTCTTTTCTTTAAAAGTTGAATTTGTTTTTAATCAAAGATTAAATGTGCTTAATTTTTATAGGTTATTACACTATCGCTCGGTAACGACTCGGCATTGAGTCGTCCGTTTAGTAGATGGACTTTCAGTAACGACTCGGCATTGCGTCGCCGGGGTGGCAACGGTGCGGTAAAGTAGCGGCTCCTTCGGGAAGGTCTTGCCGCGGTTTTTTACTTTATATGCATATACTCCTGTAGGGAATTTCATTGTGAATACATTGATACCAAAATGAAAGACCTAGGACCAGAATTGAGGTAATGAAGTTGAAAAGAGTATACTCATTTTATTGCTCTTTATTAGCGCTCACTGGGGTAACGCTCCGTCATTTTTTCTGTTTGCTGTGGGTGGTATGCCGGGCTTTTGGACTTTATATTTGCATATACTCCTGTCAGGAATTCTATTGTGAACACAATGATACCAAAATGAAAGACCTAGGACGAGAATTAAGATGTCCAAAGTGCAGTGTGTGCACATTTTATTGCTTTTGTGCGCTTCTGGGTAATACGCTCTTACTTTCTCGCTGGGCTTTTGGGCTTTGTGCATTTAGTCTTGTAGAGAATTGTATTGCGAACACATTGATACCAAATTGAAAAACTTAGGACAAGAATTGAGGTAACAAAGTTGAAAAGAGTATACACTTTTCAGTATTACATAAGAACATACATAAGAACATAAGAACAAAGGTAACTGCAGAAGGCCCATTGGCCCATACGAGGCAGCTCCTATTCTATAACCACCCAATCCCACTCATATACTTGTCCAACCCGTGCTTGAAACAATCGAGGGACCCCACCTCCACAATGTTACGCGGCAATTGGTTCCACAAATCAACAACCCTGTTACTGAACCAGTATTTACCCAAGTCTTTCCTAAATCTAAACTTATCCAATTTATATCCATTGTTTCGTGTTCTGTCCTGTGTTGATACTTTTAATACCCAAGTAATATCCCCCCGGTTATGTCCATTCATCCACTTGTAAACCTCTATCATGTCACCCCTAACTCTTCGCCTTTCCAGTGAATGCAACTTAAGCTTTGTTAATCTTTCTTCATATGAAAGATTTCTAATTTGGGGAATTAACTTAGTCATCCTACGCTGGACACGTTCAAGTGAATTTATATCCATTCTATAATATGGCGACCAAAACTGAACTGCATAATCTAAATGGGGCCTAACTAGAGCAAGATATAGCTTGAGAACCACACCAGGTGTCTTGTTACTAACGCTGCGATTAATAAATCCAAGTGTCCGATTTGCCTTATTACGAACATTTATGCATTGATCCTTTTGTTTTAAATTCTTACTAATCATAACTCCCAGATCCCTTTCGCAATCCGACTTCGCAATCTCAACACCATCTAGCTCGTATCTTGTAACTCTATCATCATTACCTAACCTCAGAACTTTACATTTATCAGCATTAAACTGCATCTGCCAATCCTTTGACCATTTCAAACCCTATCTAGATCAACTTGAAGTGATAGTGAGTCCTCCTCCGAATTAATTTCCCTACCGATTTTCGTATCATCGGCAAATTTGCAAATGTTGCTACTCAAACCTGAATCTAAATCATTTATATATATTATAAACAACAGAGGTCCCAGGACAGAGCCTTGAGGCACTCCACTTACAACATTTTCCCACTCTGACTTGATTCCATTTATACTAATTCTCTGTTTCCTTTGGTATAGCCATGCCCTAATCCAGCTTAATATAGCACCCCCAATACCATGAGACTCTATTTTTTTAATCAGTCTTTCATGTGGCACTGTATCAAAAGCTTTGCTAAAGTCAAGGTATACAACATCGCAATCCTTACCACTATCAACTGCCTCAACAATGCTAGAATAAAAAGATAACAAATTTGTTAAACATGAACGGCCATTTATAAAACCATGTTGCGACTCAATTATTAATTTATGTTTTTCAAGACCGTGCTCTCTAATGTAATGAGGCGCCCTGGGGTGGCGCAGCGCTCTTTCTGATCCACTTTCATCTTGTTGGCGGGTGGAGTGCGCTGTAGTTTTTGACATATGCATATACTCCTGTTGGGAATTCTAATGCAGACACAATGATACCAAAATGAAAGACCTAGGACAAAAATTGAGGTGACCAAAGTGAAAAGAGTGTACACATTTTATCGCTCTTGCGCGCTCCCGGGTAACGCGCTCTCACTTTTTCTGTTTGTTGTAGATGGTACGCCGGGCTTTTGGGCTTTATATGCCTTTAGTCCTGTAGAGGATTCTATTGCGAACACAATACCAAACTGAAAAACCTTGGATGAGAATTGAGGTAACAGTTGAAAAGAGTATACACTTTTCAGAATTACCGCGCACTCCCGTGAAACGCTGAAACCCACCTGGGGTAGTGCGGGGCTAGTGCGCCCAGTGAGCAAAAGTGTTAAAAGTAGGATTGACATTTATTGCTTTAGTTTATCATTTTCAGCATCACAGTATTGAATGTTTATTTGTAAAACTTTGCAGGATTCTTTAGTCATTCTGCTTTTTCTTCGTTGCAGCAAGGTATACCATATACAACTCCGATACACACACCCGTGATGCGCAACTACTCTTCCGCAAGCAAAATGAACACAAGAGTGCATGCTTTTTATACGAAAACCATTTATAAAACTGAACACTGCCAGCCATGTGGAAAAAGGTAGGTTTTGTTACTTTCATAAATTGTTAGGGAAAAAAAATGGCAAATTTACTGTAGTTTTCATTCCATGTATTTTATTATAGTAATCAATGATTGTTATGATATAGTTCATAATCTTGCCAGATTTTCCTTTACGTTGTTGTCATGCGTTGTCTGTACTGAGCTAGTTGTGCTTGCAGGGGTTGAGTTCTGGCTCTGTCTGTGGCTGTCTTGGAAACTGCTCATGCCTACACACAGCTCTCTCCATTTGTCCACTTACTCGGATTTCCCTTTCTTCACTTTTTTTATTACTGTATTATCTTTTCCTTCATTTGTATTTTTATTACATTGTACATGTATGGTTGCCTTTGGCTTCAATAAAATACTTTATAATGAAATCTAGAAGTAAAGGTTATTTAAGATTTTGTTTATTTGGTTGAGGATCTTTGAGAGGGTACGATTTACACTTAACGTAATTGGTTTTGTTTCATTTACATTTTTGTTTAGGCTCTGGTTGCCTTTGTCCTTCCCCGTAGATGGTTATAAAAGGTTCGGCGAGTTTGGAGCCGGTCGGCCGAGTGGACAGCACTCTGGACTTATGATCCTGTGGTCCCGGGTTCGATCCCGGGCGCCAGCGAGAAACAATGGGCAGAGTTTTTCACCCTATGCCCCTGTTACCTAGCAGTAAAATAGGTACCTGGGTGTTAGTCAGCTGTCACGGGCTGCTTCCTGGGGGTGGAGGCCTGGTCGAGGACCGGGCTGCGGGGACACTAAAAGCCCCGAAATCATCACGAGATAACCTCCAAGATAACCTCAACTATACCCCTTCCCCTCTCTTGGTTCTGGGGCTTCTGCTTCAGGTTTTGTCTCAGCTGTTTGGCACAGTTTCCTTGTTTCAAAGATTTCTTGTCACATTTTCACTGGTTGGGGGCATAAGGCTTTCCAAGCTGGTGTTAGCCTGAGTAAGCCATGTACAGTTCATTTTGGCATTGAATAATAGAATAAAAAGAGCAGGCTCCTAACTTTTGAACTTTTAATACATGCAAAACACAGGCACTATCATGGTTGTCATGTTTTGCTCTGCTTGCTGTGATCTGGATTATTGGGATTTGATACCAGGTTCCTAGTCCATTCTCCCCCGCTCCATGTTCCTAGTCATCCTGTGCACTTGGGTGACAGTGCTCTGAATACCTGGGTGAAGGATTCAAATTCCTAGATGAAGCACCCCACCTAGTCAGGTGTGATATGCGGGTTGCCATGAGACTTCCTTCTCCCCCCCCCCCTTCCTTGCCTGCCAAGGTGTTCACTAGTACCCCCCTTTCCCTCCCAATATCCCCCCTCCCTCCCATTTTGGTTTTGGATCCTCCAGTGTTTACCTGTTGTCCAGGTAGATGCCCCAGGTTCCTGGCTGCCAGTGTATCAGATGGTTTAATGGATCCCGTGGCTTTTTACGTGACTGAGTTTCTTGGTTGAGTCTGATTGGACAAACTGTTGGATTCTGCCAATGTATAAATCTGAGCCTGATTGCTCAGGTATCCATTGGTGGTGTTTACCTGGTGCTCGGGCATGTTCTCTGGTTCTTCAAATGCATTCCCAGAGAATCCTAGTTCCCTGGTTGTCGGCCTTGGCTCTCTGAGAACCTTTCCTAGTTTCATTTGCATAAAGGCCTGGGTGGTTTCCCCCCCCCCCCCTCTTGGCATGTATATTGGCTGTGCGTGGTTTCTCTATTCTTTGCTGGGTGTACAGGGTTATGTTTGGCTTGTACATATATGGCTTGTGTAGATGTACAGCCCTGAAACACATGTACTGTAGGAGCTGGATTTTGGTTTTCTCACATTTTGGCACGAGTATTTGCCATGGTTTTCCGGCAACGATTTTCCGGAACGTGATTTTGGGCGCTTTGTATTTTTTAGTGTATTCTGGATACTCTGCATGCTCTCCTGTTCAGTTAAGTGCCTGGGTGCTGAATATGTTCTGTAAGTGTTCTGGAGTATGGGGTGGTTCAGTGGGGTTGTTTGTTTGTTTGAGTGCATCCCTCAAGGTTGTTTCTCAGTATTTGGTCTCTTGATTGCACCATTGGGCGTGCGTGCCTCCATTCTTCGGGTCTGGCCCAGCTTAAAGTTATCTGTGCAGTTTGGTTTGTTTTATGAATTTTAGACTTCCCAAGTGCTTCCTTGGTGTCCTGTCGTGCTGTATTTTGCCATGAAATAAAACAAGAATTTTAGAATTGGTTTCCTTGGCCACTGGTAAAAATTGCCTCAACTGATCTTTATTACAAATCTGGGTTTTGACCGTTCTGAAATGGGACAGATGCAAAACCTGAATTTCTGGCTCTCGATCTTTCATAATCAATAACTTTGAATATGCACTGCTCTTAACATTTGAGTTCAGTATATTTATCCCACAGGTCTACATATGGCCTGTTATATGCTATGGGGCATATGGTAACCTAATTTGTTATTGCATCTTTGTTCCCTCTTTCTTGGTTGTCATTTTGTGTGGGGGGGTGTTCCCCCCCCCATCTACATAAGTTGTGTGCTCTGTGTACTTGGCTTTAATGACTTGTCCTCTGGTGTCTGCACTGGTTGTTATACAGGGCCTATGGCTGGTCCTGTTTTTCCATGGCACATGGTGTGAGCCACTTAAAGGAGCATATCATTACTTTGGTATTACCCTCTGGCCTTTTTCCTCAGACGTTACCTGTTTGGTTTTAGGCATTAACATGTGCCCCTGGGCATTAGTGTTATTGACATGTGACTACTGCACTACCTACTTGATACCTGCTTGATGGGGTTCTGGGAGTTCTTCTTCCCATACCTGGCCTGAGGCCAGGCTTAACTTGAGAGCTTGGTCGAACAGGCTGTTACTTGGAGAGGCCAACATATCCACCACAGCCTGGTTGGTCTAGCACTTCTTGAAGAAAATTATCTAGGTTTCCCTTGATGTCCACGGTGGTTTCGGCAATATGTCTTACACTCGCGGAAAGGATGTTGAAAAATTGTGGACCTCTGATGTTACACACAGAAATCACAATAGCGTGATGCATCAATGAACAAATCCACAAGGGCCGTGATGAGGATGCGAACCTACGTCCGAGATCATCCCAGATGCTGCCTTAATCGACTGAGCTACGACATGGTCAAAAGAGTTGAAATCAGAAGTTGTACCTAACTAACTTGGATTCTCGGACGTTCGTTCGAATCCTCATCACGGCCCTTGTGGATATGTTCATTGATGCATCACGCTATTGTGATTTGTGTGTGTAATGAAGTAAGGGTGAAGAGGTAGAACGGCCTATTGACATAGCTCGGGTGCACGGGGGGAGTTGTGTAAAACCGTGGTTTGTCTCTCGAAAAGGTCGCAGGATCCAAGTAAGTTAGGTACAACTTCTGGTTTCAACTCTTTTGACCATGTCGTAGCTCAGTCGATTAAGGCAGCGTCTGGGATGATCTCGGACTTAAAATCGAATCCTTGTCACAGCCCTTGTGGATTTGTTCCGATGTTTATAGGGTGTTCTCTGATTGTGCTTATGGCACCTCTGCTCTTAACTGGTTTTATTCTGCATTTTCTTCCATATCGTTCACTCCAGTAAGTTATTTTACTCTGTAGATTTGTGACCTGGCACTAGGTTCCATTGCATGTGAAATGATTGGCAGCATCCAGAGGGCCGCTCATAAAAGCATATTGATCCTTCCGATGCCCTAATTTTGTAAACATTTAGAAAATATGTAATACATTGTGAATGATGTATTTGTAGTAATGTTCTAGGGGCACTATATTTATAACAAATTATGTAAAGGTGTAAAGTGAAACGTTGAGGTTTCTAAACATTACTGCACGTAAATAAATTAATGTTATTCTTACTATAAAAGCTTGAGGATTAACATTGAACATTACAGCACAGTTTTGTTGTAAATTGCCTACACAGATGAATTGCCACAATATTTTTTTAAGTCTCAATGAAATTCAACATTTGAGCATTTATAGGAATCCATGATAGTTATTGAAGTATTGTTTATAAAAAGAATTTACATCTGCACACAGACTTGCAAAACGCACTGTTAACTAAATAAACCAATAAAGGTTTGTTTTGTATGCCACATATAAGTAGAATACATTGAAGCCACCTGTTCAAAATGTGAATCTCCTTAACATTACACATTTTTATTCACAGAATTAGGTTTGGAAAAGTTGCACTGAAGTGCCGAGACTGTCGAGCTACGTGCCATCCCGAGTGTCGTGAGTCTGTTCCCCTTCCATGTGTTCCTACTGCAAACACTCCAACTGCTAAAGGCCAGCTTGTGAGTAAATGGAATTTCAAATGTTTGCGTAGTACCACCAGTAGAGTTGGCTACAGTGTGAAGTTCAGTACTGTACTGTATTGTTGTTTTAATGGCATTATTGGTTAATGTTTGGCATCTGTGGTGCATCAGTTATTTATAAAAACATAAACACTAAGTGTGGGGTTGAAGAATAGGGAATTATCAGGGGAAAGCACCAATCCATTACGACTATATAGCACTTGGGAAGGGGTCAGGATAAGGATTTGGGATGGGACGGGGGGACGGAATGGTGCCCAACCACCTGGACGGTCGGGAATTGAATGCCGACCTGCATGAAATGAGACCATTGCTCTACCGTCCAGCCCAAGTGGTTGGGCAGTGTGGGGTCGAATGGATGCCATTGTAAATTATGTGAAGATGGTAATTTTGACAGGATTTTTATTTTTTTGTCACCTGTGGTCAAAACTGCATTTTTTTATGAAATTGTAAAATAGAACAATCACACTAACGTGATGTATCAATGAGGAAATCTATAGGAGCCATGATGAGGATTCGAACCTATGCATTCCCAGGCACACGCCTTAGACAACCAGGCCACGACATGGCCACGCTAGCTCCTGGAGCATAAGTGTTTCCACTAGATTGTCGTAAAGACCCAGTTGGTTCGCATATATTCAGCCGAGTAAGGAATATACCTACGTGTCTCATTTGGTCTGAGGCATTTAGTGATACTTGGATGAATGGGTAGCTTTAGAAATACTTGTCCAATTTTTTGCTAATAGTGGGTAACGTCTCCCTTTTTGGACCTAGTCCATATAAATTCCAACTCTACTGAAATGTTTAAGCAAAAGTTATTTGTGTTATAATAATTCAATGTTATATTTTCAGGGCATAATTGCAGATTATACACCACATGTTCCTCCCATGGTTCCTGCTCTGGTTGTCCATTGTACCATTGAGGTAGAGAACCGTGGGCTGAGTGAAGTTGGGATTTACCGTGTACCTGGTGCTGAGAAAGATGTTAAGGAACTGAAGGTTAGTTGCTTTCATGACCTAATGTATTGTATTGGTAAATTATCCTAGTTTGTTTTTGCTTGGACGTACTTTCAGGTAGGTAAGATAAGCTCTTGGGGATGCCTGTTCACTTTCTGGTAGCAGGTGGAATACTGTTAATTTTTCCTTTGACTTTATTATCTACTTTAAAGATGTGGATTGACTAGATGGCATTGGTCATGCTGGACAAATAATTGGTAGTTGGTGAAAAGATGCATATTTGAGTGTGAGAGGAGGGGTACTTTGCTTACTGCACTGTTTCCAAGAACAGAGTGAGCAAATGTGACGAGAGCATTTGGTGCGCGTTCACACGGGTGTCGGTCAATTGGATGTAGTTTAGATAAAATGATTGTGAGGTGGACTGAAGTAAGAGGTACTGCTATATATTTGCTGGTGTCAATCTGTTATGTCAGGAGGTGGCATGAGAAAATGGGCATCAGATAATGTATGAAATTTACTTTATTTTTTGTATTTATATATACAAGAGTTGTTACATTCTTGTAAAGCCACTAGCAAGCATAGCGATTCGGGCAGGTTCTTAACACTTTCACGCTTCCGAGCAGACCGTCGTTGTCACCAATATTATTAATCACACCGCACGCGTGCCCCTCTCGGGAGTCACGAGAAAAAATATTTGTATAAAATCCATTTATTATCCGATCAACTTGGGAATAGTTTACAAATGTTTGCCATGAAATTTACGTTTTCTCTAATAGCCGAACAGCTTATTAAAGAGAACGTCGTGGCAGTGAATCATCGTGGTAAAACAATTGTATTATTGACACGACGAGTATAATCGACGTAGTTTTTATATATGTTGCCGGTCGAACGCATCCTTATGTGACCTTTAATACTTATGTTCTTATAGAACATTCTATTGCGAGCACATTGGTACAAAAATGAAATACATCGACAAATAAAGTCAGGACAGTGAATTGAATATACACTTTTCAAAGCGAGTTTCCCCGATATGCCGCCGCGGGTAACACTTCGGCCACTTCCCACACTGTTTTGGGTGGGCTACGACATTGAATCTATATTTATATGCATATGTCCGTGTAGAGAATTTTATTGCGATTCTAATGATACCACAGTTAGCGATGTAGGACAACTGTAGGCTTCGCAACCATTAAGAGAGTGGAAACATTTTGTTGCTGTTTGGCGCTCTCGGCGAGTGATCTGAATAGTTTTTTTATTTGGTGTTGATAGTCCTTATGCTTTGGCGGCATTTTATAGGTATGTTCTTATAGACAATTTTATTGCAAACACAGTGATACCAAATTTAAATACGTGCGCCTTCAATTATTGTCAGGACAGTGAAAAGAGTGTACACTTTTTCGGTCTTACCGCGTAGGCGTGCGAACCGCCGAAAGCGCATAGGGTATGATTTTTTTTTGAACGCCGAGAGCGCGAAAGTGTTAATTCAAATTTTCCCTGGAATACAACCTGCCAAATCATTTAATAACCAGGTACCCATTTGCTGCTGGGTCAACAGAGGCAGAACTGAGGCAAAACTAGAAACATCACTTAAGACACTGTTCCACATAGACAAACTATCCAGTCAGCAATCCTATCAATCTTAATGGACTCATTGAACATATTATATATAAAATAGTATTAAAGCTAGTTTTGGACTTGGGGTGCTTGGCTTAGGACTTGTGCAGTGGGGCTTTGGACTTGGGGAAGGGTGTGAAAGGTATTTTGGGTGCATGGATTTATACTAGGGGTATGGCATTAAACAACTTGTGCAGTGGGGCTTTGGACTTGGGGAAGGGTGTGAAAGGTATTTTGGGTGCATGGATTTATACTAGGGGTATGGCATTAAACTTTGGTAGTCTTGCCTTTAGTGTGAGGTTTGTGTGGTGTAGGCATGAGGGAATGTGACTTTTAACTTGTGGCCATGGCTTTGGACTTAGACATGAGTTTGTACTTTTGGGATGGGTGTGGCTTTTAATGTATTCCATATTCAAAATTTTTATCAAATATGAGGTAATGTTTTGTATTAGAATATGTTGAATAGTTAGGTCTAACTAAGGTTAGGTGGTTAGGTTATAATTGATAGTTGCAGTAATGTGAATGAAGGGTGTTTGGTGGCTGTATTAACCCTTTAACTGTGCAACGCGCCTGCAGGCCCAGGCTTCGGGTGCGCAACGCGCCTCTGGGTGTTTTTATTTTTCACGTTTCATTCAAAACTCCCTCGGCTACATGGGGTTCACATCAGCTTCCTCAGGGCTCTTGTAAACAGACGCCATCTTTAAAAAAATCATGGTCCACATTGCCGGGTGTCAGAGCCTCGGTAGTGAGTGAGCAACCAAGGCTGGCGCTCGCAGCATGAGCGCACAGCACTGCTGTTCAGCGTGTGACCACAGCATCGCCTAATATTGTCAAAATATATATATAATGTTTTATTTAGCTATGATAGTATTATAGAAGAGCCTGAGTGTGATAATGACTGGATACAATGTTCAAATATCAGTGATTCAATGCTGTTCACGATGTTCACAGCGCTAGCCACAGCACCACAGCATTATTTCGTCCATCTAGGAATCTTCAAACGACTTTTTAGATTTTTCAAAATAAACTTGTGGTCAATTATTCATTTACAGTTATTACTGACCAGGATTGTGGTTATAATTAGCGTTGTGCGTAGGAAGGAGGAATTTTGGTGAGGGAGGGAGGGAGAGAATTGAGGTAGCCTCACTGTGTGGCAGTAACTCTTGATTTGCTCACCATACTAGCTTTGTGGTTCGCTATGGGGAACACACATGTACATGGGTATATACAGTGTGTGTGAATAGTGTAATAACAGCACCAGGAGTATGTTGTGAGGAGCTATTTTGGTGAGGGAGGTGACGTCGTAATCGTGGCGTTGTCTGCTGTGTGATTTGTCATGCAGTGTATGGTGGCCACTGTACTGGTTTGGACACAATACCGACTTACTTGCATAGTTCTGGTAAATAAAACGTGTAGATAGGTATATATAACATGTGTAATAAGAACAATAACAATGGTGGGAGGAGCAATGTTGGCGAGTAAGATGTTGGAGTGAGGGAGGACTGGCTGGGTGTGGCTGCTCACACTCGCGGTGTTCTGAGTGTATTGAAGGTGAATGTATATAGTGTGTGACAGTGTGTACATATGTTGTAAATATACATAAATGAACATGAAACATTGGTGTGAATAACTGTATGATTTGGAGGAGTAATGTTGGTGAATACAATGTTGGAGGAGTGAGGGAGGGCTGACTGGGTGTGACAGCTCTCACTCGCGGTGTTCTGAATGTGTTGATGGTGAATGTATATAGTGTGTGACAATGTATAGTCTGTAAATAGATTGTATATATACATAAATTAGCATGATACATGGTAAATATGTGCAACATATTTGTAGCCTGGTGGATAGCGCGCAGGACTCGTAATTCTGTGGCGCGGGTTCGATTCCCGCACGAGGCAGAAACAAATGGGCAAAGTTTCTTTCACTCTGAATGCCCCTGTTACCTAGCAGTAAAATAGGTACCTGGGTGTTAGTCAGCTGTCACGGGCTGCTTCCTGGGGGTGGAGGCCTGGTCGAGGACCGGGCCGCGGGGACACTAAAGCCCCGAAATCATCTCAAGATAACCTCAAGAAGATAACATGTGTACACAAGTGTCATGCACGTAACAGTGTCCTCAGACAGTACGGATGTTTTACTGCCATAATATAGTGTACGTGTTCATTATACATAGGATTAGCACGTAAAAACAAATAAAATGTATTTGGAACTGTGCGCAAAAAATGAACAAAAATATATTTTTGTTCATTGTTCCCCCCCACCGGCCCCGGGCGCATACTGCTCTGGCGCACGGGGAATGATGACGTCACGCCCCACCTTTCGGACCCCATAGCAGCCAAAGTAAGTACAATTTCGAACTTCCGTTGCTATACCCATATACAGGGAGGGGTTTTTGACACTTTCAGAAGAAAAAAGAATTTTTTCCCGAGGTTTCATTTCTTGCGCACTGGGGTGGGGGGTGTCATGTTTATAGGCCGTGCAGTTAAAGGGTTAACAAGCATTTGGCATTGTTAATGAGGACAGGTTGAGAAAATTGCTGATCTAGGCAATGTCATAGATCATGAGGTATTGCAGTAAGAGTTTTGCTAAGTAAAATGATTCATTTTTTTATTTGTAGATGACCAGCCATGCACTTCTTTTTTTGTTTTCAGTCTTTTCAAGTAATTTTTGTATTCTCCATTTTGTTTATTAGGAACGATTCCTGAGGGGAAAGGGGCTCCCAAATCTTTCACAAGTGGACGTTCATGTCATCTGTGGAACTCTGAAGGATTTCATGAGGTCATTGAAAGAACCCCTTGTCACACACCTTTTGTGGAAGGACTTCACTGGTGCTGCTGAGAAGTCTGAGACCCAGGATTCTGCAGCTGCTTTGTATCAGGCTATTTCAGAACTGCCTCAGCCAAATCGGGATACATTGTCTTGGATCATCACGCATCTGCAAAGGTTTGTGTTTTAAGACTGTATTTGCATTCTGAATGATGATTTGACGTAAACATTTTGTTCGATTGTGTACAATGTCAACCTGGCTAATGTATATTTTCTTTGAGGCATTATGAGATAAGAGCATGTTAAAGTAATTTTTAACTCGGCCATGACTTTAAGATATGAAACCATTACAATTTAAGAATGAGTACAAGTAATTATAATTTGAGTACAATTGTGAGAACTTTTAGGTTGGCACGTTTGTGAAAGATGTGGAAAGTAAATGCAATACCAAACAAGGTGATAGAATTCGGGGTAGCCACAGTTTAATGTTAATTAGGTAGAAAGTGGCTGGATTAATTTGATAACCATAGGCTGATGTTTATTAAGACAGTGTATGCAAAGTGTAGTGTGTTTACAGATGCCAACACTCGATTAAAACTACTGTTTTTGAGATAAATCAAAATTGAATGCAGTGAAGATCAATGTTATTAACAATATACATTGCTTCATTTGGGAAGAGGTATGCATGATACATGTTACACTATGAGGCAGCAGGAAATTTGGTTTTCACTGCCATGTGTATACAATGCATAAAAAGTTTTGGTCAATAATTACAAAGTTGCACCACTTTAAACAATAGTGGAATGAATAGTGGAATCAATATTAGTAATTAGGTTGCCATGAGTTTCAAATGAAGGATGTATCATTAAAACTTTGATTTGAAGATTGTTATGTTGGAGTGTGTTCACTATTTGTATTGTACATATTCTTCAGAGTTGCTGAATGCCCTGAATGCAAAATGCCCATCTCCAACCTGGCAAAAGTGTTCGGGCCAACACTAGTCGGATATTCTGTTCCTGAGCCAGACCCCTCCACGATGGTCCTGGAGACACGTCAGCAACAATTGGTAAAGTATTACCCTCTGTTTCTTCTGCTCTGTCTCCATGCTATATCTGGAGAACACCTTCATGCATTGACTTGAAACTTTCAACACTTGGGTATGGTAGTGCAAGAAAAGTCTCTATGGTTGTTGGTTCATGTAGTCTTTGTGATGTTTTGTATTTTGTTAGCTCATTGGAGTGATGTGAGATGTAAAGTGATTTCTCAAATAAGACAAATGGTGCTAAAATGTTTACATACACATGTCCTCATGTCAGGAAATGATCTCGGTTCAGGAGTCCCCACTAACCAACACCTGGTCTTATCAACGATACTATATGGCTGACCAACTCTGCCCCAGTCAGCTTATTGTAGACCCCAGAAAGAAAACTGCACTCAAGATTTGTTTTCTTCTAATATGGAAACTGACTGGCAGTGCCATGTAGGAATGAGACGTGTAACTAAACATCTACCATGACTTACTGGCAACTTGAACTGGGGAAAAACATTGGGAATGGAGTAGTGCAAAGGTTAAGATGTCTCCTTTGAATGTCTCGAGTCACTCTCTAGTGAGGTGCTTGGTCTAGAATCCTCATTAGAACTACTCAGCTGGTCACTGTAGCAGTGAGGGACAGAATATAGGCTGGGTGAACAATATATGTTCAAGAACAAGATTAATCAACACTGGGGACTGAAGCTCAAGATTATTCCAGTACTTAATGTTTTTGTGCACACATTTGCTCACATTAATGACATACTGTTCTTCAAAGCAGCAGATGATGAGTCACAATGACGTGGCTTGAAGATATGAGAAGTAAACCACACCAGAAGATGAGACGACGACGTCATTTTGGTCCGTCTTGGACCATTATTAAGTTGATTGAAATGTCGTCTCTTCATCTTCTGGTATGTGGTTTAATTTTCAAAGTACCTTTTGCAGTGGGGTTGTGGTTGTTACAGGTGACCTGGGAACAGGCAAGGGTAGGGAGTGCAGGCTGGGTGGAGGTGGTATTAAGAGGCCAATGTGTTGGCCCATGAGGCAACTGGCTGCTCATGCCTGGAGGTGGCAGATGGTTACTCCACACGTACAGGCAGCAGTGATATACGTAGCATGGATGCTTTCCTCCAGCAATGACACTGCAGTCTACTTCAGGGTCCATGTGGTCACCTCTACAGGTGACAAGGTTGCCTCTTCAGGAGTTTGCCCACCTCTCATTGCTGCACTCTAGATAGCAAATTAGTAGTATGACAAGTTGATCTGCAAGTAGTCACATAACTGGTTTGTGGTTGTTTAACTTGAAACAACCATAGTCGTCACCACTAGCTTCTAGGCCGTTGAAACTTAAAAACATGTACTGTATTCAGTTTGGCAGCCAACTTCAGTACGAGGTAAAAGCCTAAATGGGCACCTCAGTTCTTAGAAACTTGTCTATATGGTTTTCTTACCGGTTATTCCCGAGCACCAATCAGAATCGGGGAATTACTGTGGACCCCTTCCAATAGGCAAGAGGTAGAAATGCTGGCCACTCCTTAACGTGGCAACGGTGTGGCAGGTCATGAGCTATTAAGGGTTATGACCATAAAGCCAGAATTTCCCTTCAAATAACTTTTCACTTCAACTACCTCCAATGAGCCTACCCACTGTTTTGATCTCTTATTAATTATTATTTCTAATTAGGACAGCTTGCCTCGCGTGACAGGACCTATTGATGGTATTGTTCCTGTTGATGGTATTGGGGCATTAGTCAGGTATCAAAGATGACTCGTCTAGACTAATACTAGAGGATGTTTTCTTCTATTGTACAAGCTAGTATAAGTTACATATTACTGTAGTGAAGATCTCCTATCGACATGTATAAAATTGCCTTGTTCACAAAAAATACAGTAAAATATACTATTTGGGATATGGGTAAGTTCAACAAGAAGCAATGATATGAATCTTGTGGGAAGTAGCTATAATACGTATGTTTGAAAAGGGAGGTTTTGTTCAGAGGCCTAAAACGCCTAAATAAATCACCTCATGATGACATAGGTGCAAACTCTATTGTTGTCAATGTAATTATTGTTATATACTTGAATACTTTTTTGTTGTTGTTGTAGTAGTAAAGATTACTCGTAGACATTTTTTTTTATAAATGGTTTACTGTACTTAAGCTTTGGTACAAATTATATAATAGCTAGTATGTCATTTGTTGTGGTTAAACCAGTTCTGTCACACAGTGAGAGCTTGTCCAAGTCGTGTGCATTTTCCTGCGCAACCCGTTCTCGCACTTAGTCAATATTGGCTTATTAAATAAGTGCATATGTGACATACTAATTGATTGTGAATATTATAGCTTACCTTGAAAAGCTTCATAGAAAACACCGACCTCACCTAACCACCTTAGTATGTTAAGATAAGCATCTTATTGCTACTTAACACTTTCGCGCTCTCGGCGCTCAAAAAAAAACAATACCCCAGATGCTTTCGGCACTTCGCGCGCCTACGTGGTAAGACCGAAAAGTGTACACTCTTTTGACTGTCCTGACAATAATTGAAGGCGCACGTATTTAAATTTGGTATCACTGTGTTCACAATGAAATTGTCTATAAGAGCATACCTATAAAATGCCGCCCAAGCATAAGGAGTATCAACACCAAATAAAAAACTATGCAGATCACTTGCCGAGAGCGCCAAACGGCAACAAAATGTTTCCACTCTCTTAATGGTTGCGAAGCCTACAGTTGTCCTACATCGCTAATTTTGGTATCATTGGAATCGCAATAAAATTCTCTACACGGACATATGCATATGAATGTTTAATATAGGTAATTGCCCACCCGCAAGAGTGTGTGAAGTAGAGAGTAGTTAGCCGCGAGCGCACTGGCGAAAACACAGGGGGGAAATCATGCTTGGAAAGTTTATACGTTTCCTGACCCTACTTTTCTATGTACGTATTTCTTTTTTATACCAATGTGTTCGCAATAAAATTTTCTATAAGATGAACTGTATAACATTTGTACAAAGCATGTGTAAGAGAAGCGCCAAATATAGAACCACATCGCTCAGTATGCGTTCGCGGCAGAAACGAACGCATTGTTTTCGTTCGTTTGATGTTTGTCATGTTTATACTTGTTGAAACATTTTATAATTTGTGACAGTGATCGCAGTAAAATTCCCTACACAGACATATACATAACACACACAAATATTTCCCACGTGTTGGATATATCAACGGCTAAAGGGAACCCACTGCCACACGCTCGCCACACCCCCAAACATACTTTGTGTATTTTTTTTTTTACTCATAGAAGTTTGTGATATAATATTCATTCTGGTACCAAAACATTCGCAAATAAATTCTCTACAAAACAAAAGTATCCCCATCCATTTCGGTTAAAAAATGGAATTTATAGAAATATTTTTTCGATGGACGAGATAAGTAGGCTGTTATGCGGAATCGTAAGAGAAAACGGCGACGAGTTATCTCTAAACTAAAGTGTGAAAGTGTTAATTACAATTATTACTTGACCTATACCGTTGATAGGCTAAGTAATAATTGTAAATAAGAAGCAATAAGATGCTTATCTTAACATACTAAGAAGGTTAGGTGAGGTCGGTGTTTTCTATGAAGCTTTTCAAGGTAAACTATAATATTCACAATCAATTAGTATGTCACATATGCACTTATTTAATAAGCCAATATTGACTAAGCAAGTGCGAGAACAGGTTGTCTTGCGCTGGTGCACTTGACCTCTTGTTACTCGAGGACATTCTTATAATTTTTCCTTTGATACTGATAAGTGGAGAAGGTGTCGCCACCAAGAGTATTCTGGCTAGACCAAGTCCAAGGAGGAATATGCATGTTATTACAAAAAGGCCAAATTATTCCCGTTGAAAAATGATCGAGGAGAGTTGGGAGGTTGCCAGTGGAGTGTGGTGGTGATGGACATTTCTGGGCATTGTCAGAATTTTATGCAATATTGTAGTCATACTGCATTATATAAGAATATATTGTATTTTTAGTCATTTGTGCATAGAAGAGATGTATCTGTAAGTCATGCTAAACAGGTTGAAAGAAAGAAGTGGTGTCTTCATATGGGGATTTATTATAAAGTTGAAAACTGATCATGGTTAAGGGAAAAGGTTGAAGGTTAAATTTGATAGCTTATTACCACAGAGGAGTTCTGGTGTCAAAGAAAATGACTGGAAAATGCTCAGTGGCTCAAACTTCAACACATTTGATGAAGCAGTTTAGAAGTATACATGTGATCTGAAAGATTAAGTATAAATTTAAAGTTACATTACACATTTCTTATTTTGATACTCGTAAAATTGTAGTATATATATTTTTGTATTAGAGTATGTAAACATGCACAATTATACATGTGTAATTTTGTGTGGTGTTGTTACCTTGTGATTGAGGAACAATGTCCAAGCAGTCCGGTCTCTGACCAGGCATTAATACTGTGTGCTCAAAATATTGTAAAGTTCAAAGTTGTAATGGTTGTTGGTTGTCTTGTCCAGTTGAAGTGTGACGTCTGATAGTTGCAGTAATTGTAGTCGGAACACTTTCATTAATTAGCAAAGCAGGCTGATTTGTCAATTTCTATGCCCATCGTTTCACAAATTTGCCACTGGTAATGTAATCAGGAGTGTAGCGGCTAATCATTGTGCTATTGTGTTCTCTATAAAGATAGAACTTGGTACAGAATAGTGTAGACTAGACGATAGAACTGTGTAGACGAGATGTTGTTCTTCTCATTTCCTAGCATATAACTGTCTCTGATAAAAACAGCCTTTAGTTGTATAGTTGTGTTTTCCCATGTATCGCCCTGTTTTTGTCGAGAGATGTGGCAGCTTTGGGATACCATTATCAATTGCTGTCGTGAGATCGAAGCAAATCTAAGTTAAATCTTTCAGGTCATGGAGAAGCTGTTGGAAATTTCTTCTGATTACTGGAACACTTTCATCAATGTAACCGATGAGAATATATATTCTGGAATGCAGCCAACGCCTGATAATGGTGGTAGTCTCCTAGGTGGCTTACCTTCTGCAAACACTCGGCGACGCTCCCTCCTCTCACGCACTCCTCTGCAGGCAAGGTGAGCACTATTAATTAATACTAGTTACATTATTGCTATTATATAAGTGAAAATTGGGAATGTCATTGTATCAACTGCTTGTTGATATTAACATTTTATCTGTAAAATTACTGGAGCCTTGTATGCAATGTTTAAAAAATGTGTTTAGCATGTTAGCCACTGTGTTTAAAGTAAATTTAAATACATTTTTGTTGCAATTTCCAGAACTAGTGTAATTAGCATGTGGGACATAAATCTTGAATCTTCTATTTGAAACCAATACAATTAAGCAATGGTCCAAGAGATTTTAGAGCGGTGATGGAAGAGACATGATGCTCTTGGAGAAATTTGACGGGGTGGGGGGGGGGGGGTGGAAAGAGGAAATGTTGCGTGATTACAAATAGAAAAAGATGGCACTGATGGAAGATAGATACTGTTGAGGCATAGTCCAGGGTGTCACTGATGTACAAATGGCATGAAGTCCTCACTTTGACATCTGGGTTTTCTATATAAACTCAGTCATCTATGTAATACCATAACACCAAGTATTGGTTTTATAGCTGTGTTGGTTGCTATAGAAATGTCCTCATGGCCAAGGGTGCCATGTGGTTGACCTGCTGTCAAAGTTGGCAGTATTCTCATGCCCATTTTAGACTAACAGAATGGGTTAAATACTCCATTCTATGAACTATTTTACATGTTTATCGTGAGAAATAACAGGTGAGAATGGTATCTCTGGGAAAATGACAATGTTTGTTGGTAGTGGCTCAACACGTCCCCAGTGACAAACACATTTGTTCAGCCAACCAGTTAACGAGAAGTAGGATGGGAGATGCTTACTCGTGTGATGAATTGCAAGTAGTGGTACCAAATACTGTGTTTTAATTTACGTACTGATCCATTTTAAAATATTACTTGCCAAATATTGGCAAGTAATTTGAAAAGATAAAAGGAATCTGCCCTGGGAAGGTGGGGTCCTAGAGCTGAAGCTAAAATGTTTATAAACTTCCAAAGCTTAATGTTTATACTGGGGGCTTTGTATAGTAATGAATAAGTATGTTAGTGGCTCATAGGTTACGTGTAAAAACTTGTGAATACTTGCTTGATAATAATCTTACTAAATTTTTCACCACTATGTGAACGTACCCTTTACAAAAATAATTATTGAAAATCATTTATAGTATCGAATATCTTTCAGGGACACCCCAAGGGCCCGCAACCCATTCCGGAAGTGAGAGTAGTGGTTGGAGGCCAGCCCTTTTCCCGTATTGAAGGATATGCCGAGTAGTGAGGGAAATTTAGATGTTGTATGCAATCTGCCTTGTATCAATCCAGTATACTGGCTAATGGTTGATTGGTCCATAACATGCATAATTATTACTTCATTACCCTTATGGGGTTAGAGTTGACGGAGTAAAACTTGTTTCACAAATATCATGTCTTTTCTCCTCTTATAGATTATTGTTGTAGCATGCTCACTTATTCAAATTTTGACAAATGTAGCGTGTTCTGTCTGCGTGCATGTGAGAGTAAGTGAACAAGCAAATATACATGTATACCTGTGAGAGCAACCAAGCAAACATTGTGTATGTTCAAGTCAGTCAGTCAAGTCTGCAAGGAAGTGTGCGTGCATGCATGCATGTTGGAATAGATCAGAAAGCGAGTATGCTTGTGTATGAATGTATAAGAAAAGTCAACAAACAAGTGTGCATGTGAGAGCAAATCAACAAGCAGATGTACATGCATACATGGGAGCAAGTTGGCAAGCAAATGTGGATTCATACATGCGAGAGCAAGTGTGCATGCATGCTTGTGAGGTCAGCAAGCAAGCGTGAGAGAGAGAATGCATGCATGTTGTAAAATGTGCATGCATTGTTTTATTATGTGCATAATTTAGTATTAAGCGTTTCTAACAAGTGAAGTCAGGATTGTGAATTATTTAGCAAGATGCCTTTAGCATTTTGATAATACATTGTAGAAAAGATTCAGTAAGCATTACACCAGATGTTACATTGTGCTCGTTTGAACTGTTACAGTGTGTGTATATACTGTATGTATATCCTGATTGTGTGCTTGTAATCAAAATATTGGAACATTTTTGTTTACCTTAAATATTTTGTAAAATTGTACTTGTGTATATTTTTAATTTTGTATATCAAATATAACACAATCTGTTTACTTTGTTGATGTTTTTCCTTTTGCTTAGATTAAATAATAATAATAATAATAATAATAAATTAAAACCATCTGAAGAATAAACAAATATTGACCATTACAACGACAGTGTTCTTGGCTGTCTTGCCCTACCCCCCCCCCCCCCTTCATGGTTGGTGTTTTGGTGGGGAAATGTGTGTTTCTGTGATCTAAAATATAGGTAAGAGGGGCTAGTGAAGCCCTATGCCTAATGTGCGATAGATCACATTAATGGCTTCCTCACCGATGTTTGCTTGGCATGAATATTTGTACATTCCTCATTTCCCTTCATCTGGAAGGAGAGAGTATCCTGGAGTCAAGATGGTTTTGGCTCTATGGAGGCACAGGGAAGGCAAGATGACACAAATTCTGAACACTATTATTATAGCACTTCAAAAAAAAAAAAGGGTAGAGAATTATGGCATAGTATTTCCCAACCACTTAGACCATCATGGGTTGAATGCTGACCATACAAGTTGTCTGTACTTGCCTAATTGTGCTTTGTGGGGATTGAGCGACTTTTTGGTCCCGCCTCTCAACTGTCAATCAACTGGTGTACAGGTTCCTGAGCCTACTGGGCTCTCTCATATCTACATTTGAAACTGTGTATGGAGTCAGCCTCCACCACATCACTTCCTAGTGCATTCCATTTATTAACTACCGACACTGAAAAAATTCTTTCTAACGTCTCTGTGGCTCATCTGGGTACTAAGTTTCTACCTGTGTCCCCTTGTTCTTGTCCCACCTGTGCTGGAGAGGTTTTGTCCACTGTCAATTCCCCTGAGAATTTTGTAGGTGGTTATCATGTCTCCCCTTACTCTCCTGTTTTCCAGGGATGTGAGGTTCAGCTCCTTTAGCCTTTCCACGTAGCTCATTCCTCTCAGTTCCGGGACGAGCCTGGTGGCATACCGCTGAATCTTCTCTAACTTTGTCTTGTGTTTAACTAGGTATGGACTCCAGGCTTGAGCTACATACTCCAGGATTGGTCTTACATAAGTGGTATAAAGGGTCCTGAACGATTCCTTACAGAAGTTTCTAAAGGCAGTTCTTATGTTGGCCAGTCTAGCACATGATGATATTCTTTTGATGTGGGCCTCTGGGGACAGGTTCGGTGTGATATCAACCCCCAGATCTTTCTCTCTATTTGACTTGCAGGATTTCACCTCCCAGATGATACCTTGTGTTTAGCCTCCTGCTTCCTTTGCCTAATTTCATTACCTTGCACTTTTCTGAGTTGAACTTTAGCAGCCATTTTCTAGACCATTCCTCCAGTTTGTCCAGGTTATCCTGTAGTCTATCTTCATCTGTCTTGACTCTTCTCATAATTTTTGCATCAGCAAACATTGAGAGGAACGAGTCTATACCCTCCGGAAGATCGTTTACATATATTAGAAACAGGATGGGTCCAAGTACTGAATCCTGTGGGACTCCGCTGGTGACATCTCGCCACTCTCTTTCCCCTCACTGTTACTCGCTGTTTCCTGTTGCTTAAGTACTTCCTTATCCACTAGAGCACCTTCCCTTTTACTCCTGCCTGTTGCTCCAACTTTTTTAACAGCCTTTTATGGGGTACTGTGTCAAAGGCTTTCTGGCAGTCCAGGAAAATGCAGTTGGCCCACCCTTCTCTTTCCTGCCTAATTTTTGTTACATGGCCATAGAATTCTATTAAACCTGTGAGGCACGATTTACCATCCCTGAACCCATGTTGGTGGTGCATTACAAAGTTATTTCCTTCCAGATGCTCTACGAGCCTTTTCCTCACGATCTTCTCCATCACCTTGCATGGTATACAAGTTAGGGAAACTGGCCTGTAGTTCAGTGCCTCTTGCCTGTCACCCTTGTATATTGTGACTACGTTAGCTGTCTTTCAACTTTCTGGTAAGTCTCCTGTTTCCAGTGACCTGTTGTACACCATAGAGTGGCACACTTAGTGCTTCTGCACCTTCCTTTAGTATCCATGGTGAGATTGTCAGGCCAAACAGCCTTTGTCACATCCAGCTCCAGCAGACACCTTTTGAGGTCACTCAAAATCACTGGTGAGGTCAAATTCCTCCAAGGTTGCTTGGTTTGCCGCCTCCTCATTTAGTGCAAGGGCTTCTCCTTGTTCTATTGTGAAGATCTGGAATCTCTTGAGTTCTTCACACACCTTGTCATTCTGTGTATCTGTTCTCCCCTTATCTCAGTCTCATCACTTGTTCCTTCACTGCTGTTTTCCTCCTGATGTAGCTGTGGAGCAGCTTTGGTTGGGTCTTGGCTTTACTCGCTATGTCATTTTCAAACTCTCTCTCTGCTTCCCTCCTCACTGAGGTACTCATTTCTGGCCCTCTGGTATCTCTCCCTGCTCTCCGGTGTTCTGTTATTTTTGTAGTTTCTCCATGTTCTTTTACTCAGTTGCTTCGCTACCTTGCATTCCTAGTTGAACCATGGGTTTTTGTGTTTTTCGTTTTTCTCCTTTTGGACGGGGATAAACTTACCTGCAGCTTCCTGGAACTTCTGGGTGACAAAATCCATCATGTGCTTCACATTCTTGTCGTAAGTTCTGTTTCCCATGGTATTCCCCTGAGGAAGTTCCTCATCTCATCATATTTTCCTCTTTGGTAATTTAGTCTTTTTTTCCTTCCGATCCCATCCTTGGAGAGGTTATCCCTACCTCCACCAAGTACTCAAAAGTCGGTACACTGTGGTCACTCATTCCTATGGGGGCTTCAACTTTGACTTCCCTTATATCTGACTCATTCAAGGTGAATATCAAGTCGAGTCTAGATGGTTCATCATTGTCTCACTCTTGTGGGTTCCTTGACACGCTGGCTTAAAGTTCCTTGTTGCCACTTCTAAGAGTTTAGCTCTCCACGTATCTGAACCACCATGTGGGTCCCCATTCTCCCAGTCTCTTTCCATGGTTGAAATTGCCCATGATTAAGAGTCTTGAGCCATTCTTGCAGTCAACTGAAGCTGCTGCTCTCTCATATTAATGGTTGCCATGTTGTTCCTATCAAATTCCTGTTTAGGTCTTCTGTCATTTAGGGGAGGGTTGTAAATGACTGCCACTATTATCTTAGGTCCATGAATTGTTATAGTTCCTGTTATGTAATCTCTGAATCGGTCACAGTCCGGAACTTGCATCTCATCATAACTCCCTTCCTTCCTTATCAGCAGGGCCACTCCTCTACCTCCTCTCCCTTTCCTCTCTTTCCTTACTATATAGTAGTCCTTTGGAAACAGCATCAGTTATGACTCCTGACAATTTTGTTTCCGTTAGTCCTATTACATCAGGGTTTTCTTCTTGCACCCTTTCTGCCAGTTCACTTGCTTTATTGATAATCCCATCAATGTTTGAGTACATTACCTTGAAGCTCACTTTCTTATATCCAAATTCGCCCTCACTCCCCACAAGTGTAGGAAGTTGTTCCATAGTCATTGCTACTTGAGTAGGCTCATCCTCCTGTGAGGTAGTTGCCAGGGGTTCAGGGGGAGGAGGAGTGGGGGATGGAGGGCTTAGGTCTTGCCTGGCTTGCTTGGAGCAGGAAGAAGACCAGGGGCTGGGAAAGTAGGGGGATACTTGGGTTAAGGGGAGAGGGAGGATTTGGGTTTTATGATGGGGCATTGTGCAGGGGCAAGGAAGGGTTTGTGCTGGGTGATAGGGGGGTGGGTTGGGGTGTTGCATTCCTCCCTGGGGTTCCCGAGTTGCTGGATTGGGGTTCCCCACTCCCCTCTGGAATTGCTGGGTGGGAGGCTGAGGTTCCTGGCTCCCTTCCCTCTCCTTGCGCCTTTTCCTTGCATTTGCTGCCCTTACTATCTCGTCTCTGGTTGTTTCCCCTCTAAACATATACCTCTTTGTAGTTCCTTGTATACCTCAGTTTGCTCTTCTTTACTAGGATGTCCTCTTTGATTACCTCGCTCTTGAATACTACCTTGATCTGTCTGTTGTACTGGGCAATCCGGAAAAACGGTTCTATCTCGTTCAGCCCCTTCCATTCCTATCTCCTTTAATATCCCTGCCACTGCAGCTTTGTCTTCAGTCCTCCATTCCTCCCTTGTGGAGCCCTCTTGTTCCTTCACACGCCATTACTACAGCTCTTTTCCTTTCCATTAGCTGGCTTGTGCATCTAGCTGCCTCCTGTGAGGTTACTGCTTTCATTACAACTTCCTTGACTGTGCACATAGCATCTGGGCTCTTCAGCATTTCAGCAAAGGTTGGGCCAATTGTAGGGGTCCCTACCATTGCTACATCTCCTGGCACCTGGGGGCTGGTTGCCTGGGCAAGAGTCTGAGGAGGGCCTGTTTTTAGGCTTTTTATCTCTTCTTGTGCTGCACTTAGTTCTATCTGCAGCTTACATATAGGTTTCCCTCAGGTCCTTCAATTCCCCACTGATTTCCTTCCATGCCTTAGCAATCATCTCCATATGTGACTCGTCCAGTCCCTCTCCTCCAGCTTTGTTCTGTTGTCTTACCATCCCGCTTGACCTGTGTGTGTGTGTGTGTGTGAAGCCATTCGGTGGTACGTGTATTGGGCTTTTGAATTGGTTAAGTTTAGTGGTGTAATTACCTAAGTGTAGTTACAGGATGAGAGCTACGCTCGTGGTGTCCCGTCTTCCCAGCACTGTCATATAACACTTTGAAACTACTGACGGTCTTGGCCTCCACCACCTTCTCACCTAACTTGTTCCAACCGTCTACCACTCTGTTTGCGAAAGTGAATTTTCTTATATTTCTTCGGCATCTGTGTTTAGCTAGTTTAAATCTATGACCTCTTGTTCTTAAAGTTCCAGGTCTCGGGAAATCTTCCCTATCGATTTTATCAATTCCTGTGACTATTTGTGTGTGTGTGTGCTGTAATTACCAAAATGTTGATTATACCAGACTGAAGAAACTAAATTGTAAGACTGATATAAGAGAAAAATAGGATTTTTTTTTTTACATCAAATTTAAAACAAAAACCTCCAGCCATATTGGCTCTATACATAAAAATTAAGGCTCATTCAGAT